TTTGGGTCCATGTAATCTATGTATTTTCTGCGAGGAGGTTCTTCCCTGGCAGGGTCTCCGGCCCGCAACCCACAAGCAGAAGTATGAGAAGATCGGGGAGAAGAAGCAGACCACTATAATCTCGGACCTGTGCGAGGGTTTTCCTGGGTATGTCACTTGCTTTGTGTTCGTCAATTATGACGATTTGTATCCGCTTGCTTCCCTGCCCCTGTCTGTCGCGATTACTTTGTCGATTATTTTCTTATCGGTTTTCTCTGGGTAATCTCCGCTAACAATCTGGTTTCTATCAGAGGAGTTCTGCATATACATGAACTACGTCCGGAAGCTTGGGTTCGAGGAAACTCCCGATTACGAATTTTTACGTGAACTATTTGCAAAAGTTCTCAAAAATATCGGCGAGGTGGATGATGGAATCTTTGATTGGATGCTGCTCAATAACGGGAAAGGATGGGAAGCAGGCAATGTTAGTTACATATCTTATATCGTCTCTATGGTACTTACCGAGTTCTTTAGACACCGGCATCATTGCTGGCTCAAGCACACGCTACGGCTCACGGACCCCATACCCCTCGTCATAGAGACACAGGCCGCCGTTCCCGTGCACAGCTGCAAGATGGCGCAACGCCTTCCACACCCCTCGTTCTCGCACCCACTCCTGCACTTATCAAGAACAGCACTCGGCGTCCTGGTACACAAGATGGTTCAGGTACACGAGGAGGCACCGCCAGAGGTGATCTTAGCGTTCAGCCCATGGCACCTGCCAGTCGACGAGCTAGTCAGCAACAGAGAGAGAGTTCAGGTCTTGTGCCTACTCATCCTTACGCTACTGCACCAAGTCCATCACCATACCGTCCCACCAACGGAGCCTATGACAGGCACTCTCCTGCACCCGGTTCTCTTGGAGCCAATTTGGTTAACGGGAATGGTATCGGACAGAATAATCCATCGGATTCATTTTTGTATGGTGGGCAGGCCCATGCAGGTAAGAATGGCACAACTTCTCGTGAGGACACTACTGCTGGAACAGCGAACCGTGATGGACCTATGGTTGGTGTACGAGGCATGGCGATGCTCGATCAACACCAGATGCATGGCATGAATGACCTCGAGGATGACAGCCACCCCAGGCGGAGAGGCCTGTTTTCAGCTTTGTTTTGTTGTCGGGCATAGGGGCTACTACGGTTTTTGGTTGCTCGTTGCGTTCTGTGAGCGCTTATTGGAAACACTTTGGTGAGTGACGTTTACCGTGTGACATGGCGGTGAAGCTGAGACTGCCAGGTTTATTGCATCTAGATACTTTGACGACCCTGCACGATGTTCCACTTCATTGCTATCGTACATATCTATCTAGCTAAATTCCTACGGGTGTCCGCGTTAGCTCCCTAGTCGAGTCCTTCCTGTCACCTTCATCTTCACGACTCTCTTTTTCAAGTCATCGGTTCCTTGTTAGGCAATGTCAATCTCGCAGTTAACATTTTCACGCATCATGATGCCCTCCAAGTTTAGTTTGTTCTTGACAGCGACTGAACTTTTTCATTGATATATTTTGGCCTATGTATTATTTACAATCGTATCTCCTGTGCATGGACTTGAGTGGTGGATAGTCACCTGCACACTAATTAATGTTATTGATTTGTTACCACGTGACCTAACGCGATAGCGTTTACCCCACACAGCATTTGTGCCTGCTACGATACGCACGTGCTCAGGAAGTGTTCAGGGTTTGCTTAAATTATGTCATATCGAAGCTTTTCTGCCCCACACCAATGAAGCGCATATATCCTCGAGTGAATCACACCAAAATACACATTTCCGCAAGATTATAACGAGTGTAGCAAACAACCTAATTGTACAAAGCTCTTTCTGAAAAGCAGAAGAAATATCAATAAACGCAGGTAGGCAACATAAATACCAAGAGTCTAAACATGGATGCATTACGGTTCCCCCAGCAACTCTCCGACGATACCACATACGACCACATACGTGACTTATTTCCTTTCTTTCCAAGCTCCATCAACGCCGAGTTTAGACCATTTCGGAGCGACATCCGAGTCAGGTGCGGGATTCCTATCAGCCAGCTGCGCGCTACTTTGTTTTGTGGTCGCTTCATCCATCAAGTCTAACCCTCCATGACTTCCACCTCTCCGACCCATTGAACCAGGAGCCTCTGAATGTCTGACGGCCGCACTTTCTCCGACACCAGACTCGTTGTGTGAAACAGCGTTGGTAGTATACGGGTGGGCCGTATCAGCGCTGGTAGAACTGTTCGCCGCACCGTGTACGTCGTTGATATTGATGGACCTGAAGTTGACGTAAGGCGCAGATGTGGGGTAGGCACCTGAAGGCACTTCATATGGTGCGTGAGACGGATCTGGTTCTGAGACGACATATGTTCGCGTGCCAGATGATGAAACCTGAGGTTCTGGTGAATGATCCATTTGTTTCTCATACATGGAGTATACGGTTGACGACGGGGAAGGCGGGGAAGTTAGCGTGGATGAAGCCGAGTTAAGCACGACGAAAGGCGAGTGGAAGGAGCGCTGGGGAAATGCAGCTGCGGTGTTGAGCTTATGGGACAATGAGCGGGAGTGCTTGCTCAATATGCGGAACGACGAAGACATGATGATGGTAAGGGAATAAGAATAAGAATGGTACGAGGATAAGCTGTTGCGGATGTATAAGTATCAGCCACAGTCGTGCGAACGTTGGGGTAACAATACTTGATTACCTTTATTGGAAAGTTTGACGCACTGGTTGGGAGCGGCCGTTGTCAGTAAACATTGTTCCAGTCCACCATCTGTGCGCTCGCTGTAATAAACGATGAGGACCTATAGACGCTTTCGTGAACCTGTTGGCTGAACGTACAAGCGTACAAATCCAATGTTGAAAACTTATCGTGGCTAGAACGTTGTGGGGGCAAAAGGAGCGAACTTGACCCGGGGAAACACCAGGAGAGAAATCACGATATGTATGCCAACGTATACGTCCAGAAAGGCGTCCTAGAATATGAAGGATCGTCTCCACGCAAGGCTAGTAAGTCGTTTTTGAATATCGTGGCTTTGTTAAGACAGCGGCCAACTTCATAGAGAGTATCGCCTCATGCTGTTCCGCGGGTTTGGACATGAGCTATTGTGTAGCCTCCAAAATGACAAATTCGGCCTCAATTTTGACCACCGTTTTCTGCCTTCAGTAGGTGACAATTCCCGAGGACCAGTGGTGAGTATTTCTTTCAGTTATCTCCGTCAAAGTCCCGTATAGAAAAGCCCGAGCGGCGCGGGCTCTGACTGGACAATGAGACATAGAGATTGCGCCTTTTACTCGCACTCAACGTCGCCGGGGCTGAATTTCGCAGATCACACAAGATACACTGTTGCGCACTTATGACATTTCCGCATGTTCCTTGTGTCATGCGTCTTATTACACTAGCCATGTCTGTTTTCTACCCTCAGTAAACCTTGTGTTAATGGGGAAAAGGTCTGTCAGCGCCACTAGCTAATCAATTCTATTGGGGATCTATCGCCCTGAACTGATTAATTGCGTACAACATAGTACCTGAACAGTGTCGACATGTCTCAGCCCTGAACAAGTTCAAGAGGTACGTATTAAACTTAAGACGTGTATTCAACGAATTACTCCATTACCGTCTCATTCCATTTTGACCACTCATTAATATCTCAGGCGACTATCGACTAGCTTATCCGCTTTCAAGTTCTAACGAAAGTTCTCTCGGACCATGAAGCTCATGGCTCATGTTCAGAAAAAAGTTTATACGCGGTTCTTAGTGAATCAAAGTGAAATCATGTTGCACCAAGTGTCTTGGAGATCCGGACCCTCTCTTCTTACGCCGAGGACCCGAGGCTAAATCAGATTCTGTTGATCGCTGGACCTGAACTTTGATCCTGCGCTACCGGCAACAAAATGGTGAGTTGAAGTATCCTGTGTTACAGTTTTGTCGTATCGTTTTCCTCGCTGGGTTGATAGGCATGGTTCCTCCATTCGAAGGAGCGGGGAGCGTCATGATCTTCATCGACCAGCACCCAACGTAGTCCAATGCTAAAGCTCGGATTCTGTCAAATAAAGTATACCTCTTTTTGTGTTCATTGCGGAATAGTTGTAGTTAAAGTGTGTTCGGAGCATTATAGCCATGTGCTAGACGGATGGGTTCTTGTAGGTGGGTCTTTGGTGCTGTTGGCTCTAGCTGCGCATACACTTATTCCCTCTTGAATACATGCAAGCCTTCCCGAAAATGTCGCTGTCAGAAACAAACGTGCAAGCGCATCGTTCGATGATCCGCGGATTCCCACTACAGCTAGCTTTCAAAAAACTATACTGTGTCCCTCGTCGTCAATCCGTGGTAGCCGTGGTGGTCGATATTTTCGGAACTGGCCATTTCGCGAGAGCTCTCCAAGAAAGTCCTAATGTTCATATTCACCCCCGCTGCACTTTTAAAAACGACACGGCGATCATGATTCTCGCCTTCCTTCTCTGATCCGGCTTGATGTTCCCTTATCTTGGAATGTTGTGCTTCAAAGATATTTTGACCCGACACCAACTTCTACGGAACTGACACTTGTTTCAGACATCTTCTCCAAGTGGATAACAACATGGCGTGGCTTTTCATGGTCTCCAGCGGGAAACTTGAAGAAATCCGAGACTCGGCGTTCCTGTCACATCGTACAGATCAAGTCCCCGTGCCTCGAGGAATTCATAACCGCTGGGGATCCACCTTTTTGCCTCGTGTTCACAATCCGACGTATCCACTACCAGAAAATACATCACCCAGGACACTATACGCGTGGTTTCCGTCTTCTTTGACAATACGCTGAACACATTATCATCTTAGCCTGTTTGGTTGGCAAGCGAACTTTGGTCGCCTGATTGCTCCCGTCTCTGGTCAGCAGAGGTGCTTAATGATGGCGGCAGTGTGTCTTATCTGTATATTTATCATTAAGCCCTGTTTAGACGGTGAGTTTCCAGAAATTCACTTTAACCGGCGGTGTTCTATACCTGTAGCGGTTGGTCTGACTTGGAAATCCTACTGGATTGAGATTGAGATTGAGATTGATCTCAGACCTTGACCATTTTACCTGGAAAGTAAACAGAGTGCCCAAGAAAAAATCCGGTATTTGCGGATCCACTTGTATTTCATAGACTGAGCGCTAATGTTTGGTTTGTGGCGTGCTCACCGTACCTCTTAGCATCCCGGGGCCATCGGTGAGGCTGATTCTTTTTCACGGCGCAAAAGGATATCTTCCTCGGACTTCCAACTTGTTTTCGAAAATAGCGTCGACAGTCACTGAACCACCGAGCCTCTTCTAATCATAGCTAATATCGGAGCCGAAACCGAAGGTCATGCACATCCTGAAGTGCTGTTAATGACCCCTTCTTCGTGCGATTAGTTCCACAGCAAGTATGGATCAAACTTCATATTCAGGTATGTCCCCCTTATGCTGAACTCGTGACGATACATCTTGAGATACGAACCATTATCTACAGCGTGCCCGTATCTAGAGCCTTCCCCCGCCGCCGGATAATTTGGGCAACACCCTGATCTATAATGTGACTTACTCAATATTCTGCTTGGATTTTGTTCGTGTTGACACCCTTTCCGGAAACCACCCATGATCTTTGACGTTAGCGCTATCACTGATCGTGAACGTGGACACGATGAGCTGCGCAATTAGGCAGACGCGGTGCTTAGTAGATCAGTGATCCCGTAGGCAGTTTAGCAGCTTGACGGCAGTCTTTCAAAGGTAATACTATATACTCATGCTAGAAGTGTAAGAGACCGTAACTAAATCAAATATCAGCATACGTATATGATCCAGGCGGCGTCGACAGTAATATTATTAAAAGAAACCTGTGCGTTGCGCCGTCGTCGCCTTACTGGTCGACGTCCTCGTGAGCTCATCTCAACATCTTGAATTAACGTTTCCGTAGTAAGATTCTGAAAAAGTGGGACATCCACACGCCGCCCGCCGCGCCACTTCGCCGGTTATGCATTTATGTTTGGTGCGGAATATTCCGACAGAGATTTAATAAGGATTAACCCAAGTTGCACTGTGGCAACTCGGGTTGAAGACAAATCAGTCAAGCATTCATGGTACGCTATTTTCTCTCATGTTGGTGGTGACGGACGACTGAGAGTTTGTTTTGCAGGACATCTTTGATCACCATGCAGACGGATGATCTGACGTTCGTTCCGAAGCTGCATACTCCATGCAGACGCACAGGCACGCGAGGACTTCCTGGGCTTTGCATTAACTTAACTCCACGGACATCACTCATGTAAGTTTGTAAGTTCTGCTTTCCTGTTCGGCAGTTGTCCTTTACCGTCGCCGCGGCTTCGCTTGCCTATTACCAGCCAGCCTAACCGATCCTTTTTTTGTGTTGATGCTGACATTTCTTTAGCATTCTTGCTCCATCTTGATTCGACATGGGGCTTCCAGAACTATATCTGCCACTTGTTCTGTTCTTGGTTCTGTCCGATGGATCTGGGGCGCTTGCTCGCTCAATTTCTTGGTCACATCCACTCCTTTCTCCTCTTCTGATCACTACGTTTCACGAGTCACTCCCTTCGCTTTGTTCCTGGCCATTTTTGTCCTAGATTGTCGGAGTACAACTCCCGTACTAGTATTTCGTCCTCATAACATCCGGTTTCCGAAATCCGTAGTGCTTTATATGCTGGGTTTACAACATATCATTGCGTTTCTTTGCCCACTTTTTTCTTTTCCACCGCTTGCAAATATGCATGCACTAGCATTTAATGATGGTTTATTAGCCGTCATAGCTGCCGGTCTGGTGAGTCTTTCACCGAATGTATACTTGAAACTAGCAGTCTCTGATATCGTCTATAGGCGTGTCACCTTGCCTTTAATCGATTTGAGCCTGCTCGCCTTCTCGTCCATTTTGCCCTTTTATGCGTTATTCCCAGTTTCATGTCATTTTTTGTCCTCTCCGGGTTTACCAGTATTTTTCGTGCCGTGGTCTCGACTTACTTGCTATATTGGTTTACTATACTCACCTCTATTGCTTTGTATCGTTTGTCTCCCTTTCACCCCCTGGCAAAATACCCTGGTCCGATTCTCGCTAGAATCAGTAAATTCTGGATGGTCTGGATGTCTTCAGACGGCAAACAGCATGTTTACTACTATAATCTTCACAAACGCTATGGTGATGTGGTGAGAATAGGTAAGCGTCATGTTATTTACCACTTATTTTATCTTGATGCCGTCTTATGAAGGGCCTAATGAGTTGTCAATGCGCGATACAGCCGCAATTCAGCCATTGATGGGTCCTGGTGGATGGTCAAAGGGTCCTCGTATGTCATATTGACGTCTCTGCATGCTGTTTCTATATCCTTATTTCTTAATCAAGACTGGGATGGTCGGATGGCAGAGCAAACCAACACCAGGACTCTAATTACCATCAAAGATCCCGTAGAGCATGCGCGCCGTCGCCGCCCGTGGAACAGGGCTTTCAGCATAGCCGCCCTCAAAGGATACGAGGAAATAATTGCCAAAAGGGCACGTGAATTTGTCACAGGACTAGAGCACAAGGTGGGAGAGAGAGTAGATCTGGCCGAATTAATCAACCATTTCACGTAAGGCTTCCTTCCGATCTCTCGATTTTACTTCTGATACCCCCTTTCCATAGATTTGACTTTATGAGCGACATGGCGTGAGTTTTCCAGCTAAAATATAACTACAAATGGTTACTAACCCACCTGGATAGATTTGGTGGAGGTTCTGAAATGATCCGTGATGGCGACAAGGAAGGAATATGGCACTTACTTGAAAGTGGACTACCGTAAGTTACGCTCTTATACACAGTTTCAAGGACCATCAAATCATATATTTCATACCAGAATGGGATTGATTTTGACTCATATTCCCTGGTTCGGGAAATACTATGTCAAGATTCCTGGTATTGGGAAAAATCTTAAAGATTTTCGGGCATTCTGCGAGGAACGTGCAGCCATCCGGAAATCACGGGTTTCACAAGTTAAAGATCTTTTCCACTATCTGGTCAGTATTTATCTCTTTCATTCAGGGACTTATTCTAAAAAATTGGCGCTGTAGATTGATGAAGATGGTATCGAACGTATTCCTCCTACTATGGCTGAAGTTATTTCCGATGGTGTCCTCGCTATTGTGGCTGGTTCCGACACCACTGCGACTACGCTCAGTAACCTCTTCTGTCTAATGATGAAGAACCCCACTGTTTATTATCGGCTTCAAGCTGAGATCGACAAATACTTTCCTGTCGGTGAAAATGCTTTGGACACAACCGACCACCCATATATGAGTTATCTCAATGCTGTAATGTAGGGATTTTTTTCTCTTTAAATCCGTGACAATTGACAGCTGACATTGATGACAGTAACGAAACTTTGCGCCTTTTCCCACCAGTTTTAAGTGGCAGCCAGCGTGCTGCAGCTAGAGGAAGTGGCGGCAGAGCTATCGGGCCTTAGTAAGTTGATCTAAATATGCTTCATTTGTGGGCGGTGTCACATGTGCGGTTTTCCGTAGCTATTTACCGGAGGGCACAAATGCGTTCATGCATTTTTATTCTGTCCAGCGAGATCCGCGCAACTTTTCGCCAATGCCTGACGCCTTCTGGCCGGAACGCTGGCTCACTCCTGAAGAGCGACTATCTTACGCATCCCCTGATGTGAAGGGTCTAGACAAGGTACCATTTATTCACAACACTGCTGGCTTCATGGCATTCTCTTTCGGGCCCGCCAACTGTGTTGGAAAGAAGCTGGCATATCAGAAAATGCGGATGGCAATCTGTCTCATGATGCAGCGGCTGGAGTTCCGTTTTCCCGACGACTATGTCCCGGAGAAGTTCGAGGATGATCTACTAGATCTGTTCGTTGCGAAGAAGGGAAGTCTGCCTGTCGTCCTATCTCCACGGGTTTCCAAGGATTGAGGAGGAGTGATCATCATCTTAGCACTGTAGTTTATAGCTGTTAATTCCTGTCTTCTTGTTATCAAATACCCTTGTTGTATTCCGTTTATGCAGTGTACGTTTATGTAGTGTATTGCTTATCTGCACGCGTGCGCGTTCTCCACGACGTTTCTCAAAGACAGTGCTATTAGAAATCATCCATCTGATGACTCCGTGATTCAGGCCTTACCATTTAGTGATCGCCCTCGATCTCATGTATGCTACCAATGGCAAGATGAGAAAATCAAAGAAACGTTATTCTCATCTATGTCTCGAAGGTAAAAGCTACCGGTGCAACAGATTCGCAACGACGGTGATCGGTCCGCCCTGAGGCCAAGCTCAACGCCGGTATTCGTCGGAATGGGGGATGCATCTATCTATCGGACGTGGCCTTTTCCTCGTGATACTGGAGTCTTGGTTCCTGTGAGTTTTTGATTTTTAGACAGTCTTCGTCTTCGGATAATGAACTTGTAACTTTCAAAGCTGAAGAAGCGCGACCAAAAAGGAACGATTTGCTGTTTGACACATCGATTGTTATAAAAATGAGCCCTTGATAACTAATAAGTACCCTGGTCTTCAAAACCGAACGATAGGTAGACCTGAATACTGACTTGTGAGTGCTCGGTTAACTAGTGGGTCCCAATTCTAGATCGGCAAGATCTTAGACATTCGTAATGAGACGCGACCCGTTAAACTGTTATTTCCGCCAAGGGACGAAGTATCTATGATGGATCTCGGAAAGTGAGTGAACACGAAGTCCAGTCAGCTGTGATGATCAAGAAAAGCACAGCGAGGAATCGATATAATGAAGTTACGTCCCACACTCGAGTTTCCGTGATTCTGCGAGGACTCCAGGGACCCGATTCTAAAGTTAGTGTGTGATCGCTTGAGTCGATTTGTGACGAAGCATATGGGAGCAGAGACAACTACAAACCGACGTCCCAACTTGAACGGTGACAGTTTGGTGGAGACAACCGGTTCGCCCTGTGCGAGCTTATCTACTATTTCGAGTGCATTCGTTTACAGGCGTGTGCCAAAACGTCTTGCTATCGCTGTTCATGAGGGTGTCCGTGTCGTAGTACAGCTTGGTATAGTATTTTAGCGGTGCCATGATGTACTAGTCGAGCACTGGTGTCTGAATACACGCCAGACGCAGATCTGAGTCTTCTGTTGATAAATTAGAGCTCATATCTCCGTACCATTCCGAGAACTGGGCGTACATGAATTGTTTTAATGTGTCAACATAACTTGATCGTACTTCCCGAGAAACCGCAGCGACCGATGATTACGGATTGACCATGGTATCGCGTACATCCGGTACCTTTGTGATGAGTCTGGAAGACCCAAGATCGAGTGGGTTATGCGCGTCATGATGGTGGTGGTTACTGTACACGAAGAATAAGGGCATAACCATATAGTCATGAGCCACGATCTGAATATGATGATGATGAAAATGCGGGGACCATTCAATATGCCGTTTCAGGGTAGCCAGGGCTTGTCAAAAAATGGTCCCGCTCAACCTTCTTTGGTTTTTACAACCGCTTTCGCTGCGGTGAATACGCCAATGGTTCGGCGTATGGAATCTTCTACCCGAGCGTTCGGGCTCATCTGTGGAGTCGATAAGGAAAATATGATCATCACTTGGTCTCTGTCGAGTCTTTTAGGCTGGGATTGGAGCTATACGGACAGCCTGTCTGATCATGGTATGTGAGTCTAGAGTTATCATACCGAGAGTATGAATTGATGATTGGAGGTCAGTGAGGGTCTACCCGTATCTTCGGACTCTCTTCTTGGCAAGTTGACTTTTTGGGTTGTCGTTCATAGTCTCAGTGGTGGTAATGCGCTCTTTACTGTAAATCAATCGAGAATATACAACATCGTCCCCAGCCTCGACTACGAACTTTTTGCTCATGCGGACGAAGCCATAGCCATGGTACGAAAGATACACTGAAAGATGCTCCACCATCGACCTCGGCGATTTGGCCGTAGACAAGGGATTGCGAGCGAATGGTGGGGGTCACGCTGTCGGGCATCCATATTCATCCCCGAGTGCACTCAGGCTCTTAACTCCTACACCCGGTATCCGGCCATCGAACACGCTTTTTACTCATATAAATACAATGTATCTTCTGATTGCCATTTCGTGGTGACCTCCATGATCATGTATACAAGTCTCCCTTTTTCGCTATCATTGAAAGATTCGCTGTTGGGCGTGGTGGGTGCCGGCCTGGTGAGTGGTTCTCAATTCACAAGCGCATGCATTCACTTACCGTTCCCATAGGGCTGTCACCTTGTCTTTAATCGCTTTGAGCCCAAGAGTCCCTTATCACACGCGGCCTTAATTGGTCTCGTGCCAGCCCTACTGACCTTGCTGCTCCAGCCACATTTCTCAAGCATCCTACAAGCTAATCTGATCACATTCGCGGCATACTACACTACCTTGCTTATTTCCATATGCTCATACCGACTATCTCCCTTCCATCCCCTTGCCAAGTATCCGGGACCCGTGCTCTGCAAACTCACCAAGTTCTGGCTCGCATATCATGGACAGACTGGGAAACAATACCTTTATTACAAAAAGTTGCACGAGAAGTATGGAAGTATTGTCAGAATAGGTTGGTTGCGAATTATTATCCAGATATGTCGTTTTATCAATCTATCGCAGGTCCCAACGAATTGTCCATCACTGAAGCCTCGGCTGTTGCCCCACTTATGGGTCCGATTGGGATGAACAAGGGGCCCGGTAGGCATTCTTGCCGCTCAGATGTTTTGCTATCCTGTTCATCACTCCTTTCTCTAGCCTGGGAGGGACGGACCTCCGAATTGAAGGTCAAACCTCTCATCACCATTATCGACACCCACGAGCACGCCCGCCGGCGCAGACCCTGGAATCGCGCCTTCAATACATCTTCACTCAAGGGGTACGAAGAGATCATCTCTAAGCGAACTCTTCAGCTCGTCAATGTTCTCAGTCAAGAAAAGTCTGGTGCCGTGGACTTGTGTCAATGGATCTGCTACTTCACGTGAGCATATTTCGCTATATGCTAGCTTTACCTTGGGTTGATCGTTATTCGCCGCTTTCTAGGTATGACTTTATGAGTGATATGGCGTAAGCTTCCAGTCGGTGCTCCCCCATGCGGGCCGTGGTGACTAATTAAGATCCATAGTTTTGGTGGTGGACCCGAGATGATGGAAAATGGGGACAAGACCGGGCAGTGGCACCTCCTGGAAAGTGGCCAAGTGTGAGTATCAATACAATGCTTCAAGTGCCACAACAAACTCAAACTGATATCCTCACTAGCACCGCCTTATTTTTAGGACACGTACCATGGCTTGCTAGGTATTACATGGCTCTTCCTGGTGTAGGAAAAGACTTGAAGAAGTTCCGTGCCAATGCTATCCAGCGTGCGGCGAAAAGGCGCACTCAAGGCTCGCATCTCAAAGATCTCTTCCATTATCTCGTACGGGCGTTATACTACTTCCTGAAATGGCCATTGTCTAACTTGTCAATATTGAATATTTTATCCAGAACGACGAAGAGGGAATCGAGTCCATTCCGCCAACCATTCCCGAGGTCACGTCTGATGGTGGTCTTGCTATCCTTGCTGGATCAGACACGACTGCATCAGCATTGAGCCACATTTGCTATTTCCTAATGTGCCATCCTGCCGCCTTCCGCCGCCTACGCGCTGAGATTGATCGGTATATCCCTGCCGACCAGGACGTGACGATGAGCTTCCAGGATCATCCCCAAATGAGCTACCTCAATGCCGTCATGTCAGTTCCTTGACTTATTCCACAGAAAAGTGTGTATGCTCAATTCGGCTAATTTAGCAACGAGGCACTTCGATTGTTCCCACCTTTGCTCAGTGGCAGCCAGCGGACGCCGCAACCCAAGACGGGCGGAAAGGCGTTCGGATCGTTGTCAGTGTTCTATGCATTCCCTATCTCCCGGCGAGCGTCTGCTGACAAGGCGGGTTTACTTTTATAGCGTCTTGCCAGAAGGAAATAACGCATTTATCCACTTCTATTCCATCCAACGTGATCCACGATACTTTTCTCCCATGCCAGATACTTTTTGGCCCGAACGCTGGCTTTCAGCTAAAGAGCGCGAAGAGTTAGACATCTCGGAGCCTGGGGCATTTAGATCCCCCGAAAAAGTTGTGCACAACACGGACGCCTTCCTCCCGTTCTCGTTTGGGCCAGCCATGTGCGTTGGGAAGAACCTCGCATATCAGGAACTCCGTATGGTGCTCTGTGTCATGGTTCGTGAACTTGACTTCCGGTTTGCGGATGGGTACAATCCCAAAGACTGGGAGGACAGCTTGCAAGACTTCCTGGTGACGTTGAAAGGGGCACTACCTGCCGTTGTGACCGCGAGAAAGCATTGATAAAACTCATGTGTGAAGCTGAGATGTATTCTGTGCGTATTCGTATGTATTCTATGTAGGCTATGTGTACAATACACGGTCTGTGACCGCATACAACCGCAGCACTTTAATTCAGAGCAGGAGCGAGTTGCTGGAATGATCATACATTGGTGTCCGTGACAACTATAACACAATCAATCAAATGTAGGCGTGTTGAACGTATCATTAGGATCTGTGGAAGCCCGGATCCATTTGAGTATCAGGTCATCACTTTCAGCTAGTTTTTGCGCACCTTTGCCATTCTGGTAAATGTACTCCTTGTCCTTCTGAGCAATATGCATAATGAAGGTTGCCTTTTCATGTGCATCAGCCGAGACCTTCGGATTTTGCAAAGCACCTCCACGCAGAGCTGCAGCAGCAACATGATACCTGGATGTATGGTTACACAACATCATCTATAAAGGTAACGATAATGAGCGTCATCGCATGCAATGGTTGTGGAAACACGTTACATCAAAAGGTGAAGTTGTAGTTCCCTCTTCCCTATAGCCTTCGATCGTAATTCTGCCAACGCCAGGTCTGCCAAACAACAGTCCCTTCACTTCGATAGGATAGCCATGATAGTTAATATGAATATGCTTGTCAGGAGTGAACAACGTGTTAAAATCTGGGTCGCTCAGTGCATGAGGATGTGATCCATGCGGCCCAAGAACCATCAAGTCGGTGACATTCACGACGCGTACGCGCAAGTTAGGCACTAGCTTGCGCAATAGCGCTGCGGCTGCGATCACTTCGAAGGTCACTTCGACGCCAATACCAACGATAACTCTAGGTGAGGGAAGGGCATCCAACATTCAATGCCTGCAGCAACTAATTACAAGACATGATGCTCACACATCAGGATCTACGCCGTCATCGACGCTCGCAAATTTCCACACTGATGCACCAGCAACACAATGCTAGCATATAATTGATGAGGATAACCAGATACTGTCCTGAACTGGAACTTGCTCACCCTATCTGCCTCTTCAGGAGAAAGCCATACAGGCGAGGGCTGTTTACTGCCCACCATTAGATTCACATAGTTCTTCGCGCGCAGGCAATGAGCGACAGTTGAGAGGAAGCAATTCGCGTCAGGGGGAAGATACACACGAGCAAGTGTCGGTTTCAAGTTGAGTATCGCCCCAATAAATGACGGATTTTGGTGAGAAAAGCCATTGTGCTCCTGTCGTGCCCAGGTAGATGTCTCGAGATAATTGACAGACCCAAAATCATGGCGCCAATCCGTCTGACGGGCCATTTTTACGAATTTGCTATATTGTACCATCATCGTGTGAACAATGCCTAAAAATGCCTCGTAGCTAGGGAAGAACGCTGTGCGCCCTGTAAGCGTATAGCCTTGAAGCATCCCTTGGCAAGTGTGTTCAGATAGAATTTCAATCACGCGCCCGCCATTGGCGCGTGAGGCAACATCCCATTGAAAATTACGTCCACTATGGTCTAGTACAGCGTCCAGCTTGTTGGACACCAGCTCGTCGGGCGAGAAAATTCTAAACGACTTCGGATTTCTTAACCATTGTATCAGCGACATGCCTACAATCAACGAGCATAGAACTTACTCTTTAATAACTTCCTTTAAAAATTCGCCCACTGACTTCATACAACTCATTTGCGTTCCCTGCTTTACTCCGTACGTTGTCCATTCTGGTACCTTCAAGGGGTTGAATGACTTGTAAACTTCCCTCCTCTGTCCCAATCGTTTTTCTGGATTCTCGGGAACCACCCTCATGACGTCTTCAATAGGAGCGCCCTCGATCTCTCCCTCACCACCTGTGGAGTGGAATAGCTCGTATGGACGGTACGATGCAAGCCATGTTTGCAATGCTGCCAACTCCTCGCTTGAGGACTTGGCATCGGGCAGAGGCACTTGGTGGGAATGGAATGAACCCTCAATGAATTCACCATGCATTTGCTTTGGACCTGACCATCCTTTGGGTGTGCGCATGATTAGCACTGGCCAACGTGGCTTCACGATAGGTTGGCCGGAGCGGGCCGCACGCTGGATACGGCCAATTTCATCAACTGCCCATTCCATAGATGCTGCCATATCCTGATCTATATTGTCCAGGTCTTCGACAATTCTTACTTGATAGCCATACCCACTAAGTTTTGGATAGATCAAAAATAAATCAAGCAATTATCAGTTTATTCACCTAAACAGCGCAATAAGCTCTTTATTATCCATACAGCCATAGATAGTTCGTTCTGAGATCTTGAAACCGTTCACATGCAAAATTGGCAAAACGGCACCCGACTCTGCGGGATCAATGTACTTGTATCCATGCCATGCCCTGCGCGTCTTGTCAGCGTCAGATATTGAAGATTTAGGCGACATACGTTGCAGTTGGGCCGGTCTCTGCTTCTCCATCTCCCACAATGCATGCCACGATTAAGTCCGGATGATCCATGACGGCACCGAATGCTACGCTTAACGCGTAGCCTAGCTCACCACCTTCGTGTATACTTCCTGGAGTCTCTGCGTTGATGTGGCTAAGAGTACAATGAGTAAACCATCTATACGAACTACACGATCTGCGTACCTGGGAAATCCTCCAGGCGCGCTGAATTTCGTGACGAGGCGATCGAGTCCTGAACGATCCTGTGTGTAGAGCCTCCAGAATGGCGAAATCGAATCCTCGAGCCAAAGACAGGATAGTATGGCGGGTGCGCCATGGCCTAACGAGATTGGTCATATTGAATGAGACAGAATTACGAAAAGAGAAGAGAAAAGGCGCAAGAGGTATGATTATATAGCCAACAGATATCAGCGAAGGTGAGCATGTGACTTTGAAAACGAATATTACGAGCACAAAAGATGAAAGGAAATAATAATATTGATGGGCGTGATTGAAAGAACACGGTGTATCATTATATCGAGGCGATGAAAGTAATATATCTGGGTATGTAGTGGCCTCGCTACGGCCTGTCGGTAGCGCATATAGCCTGGAAGCACGTGCATACCACAATTGCTATAGGAAACAAAGCTCACCTGGTCCAACAACCAGTACCGCCTCTATATCAGTCTTACGGATAATCCTATTGAGATGGGCATACACAAGTACGAGACCGGGGCAAGTGCCCCAATGGCCAAGTAGACGTGGCTTGATATCGTCGAAGGTGAGATCACGCTCAAGAAATACGTTAGACTTGAGAAATATCATTGCTAAGATGCAGAGAAGTTAAAGGTTTAGCCCAAACGACAGGGGAAGACCTTACCAGCTGCGATGTAGTTTGCTGCTCGTCTAAACTTTTCGATATCACTGAGCTCATCTTGCGATAGAACTTCTGCTGTGGTGAGCTGCACTTGGTAATCCAGCATAGAGTCTGGGATATGAGAAGGATCCGGAGGAGGATTGGGTTGAGATATTTGTTGACCAGGCATAATATGTGCTTGTTAATAAGACCTGACCTTACCGAAGATGAAAGTGAGGAGAAAGTGAGGCGTGTTGCATATTTTGAGGCGCTTTATAGGGGGATGATAATGAAAATACAGGTCAAATAAGGAGCATAACGATGTCATCGTCTACACCGTGACGACACTGGCAAACTCGAGATCAGCTAATTCCTAACAGAGCAGTTACATCAGCCACAATGCAAATACAACACAACCTGGTCCGTGCGCACACCCCCTCCAAGGTATATAAGCCGGGCGCGAACAAGACGAATCCTTACCACTCTGGCCTTTTGGCTTAGATCAAGTGTAGTATCTGTTCTTAATAGTTTAACCACTATTATGGAGGCACCGCCTCCATTCTTTGGTTATCTAATTTTTGCCGCCCTTGTCCTCTTGTGCTCTGCTTGCAACACGAGGGGCGTGATGACCTTGCTACTGCACTTACCGGCTTGCGTCGTCGGGGGATCTCTTTTTGACCCTTATTCTCTTTGTTCTGCTTTCTAATGCTTGTCATTTGACATGTCATGGGGTCGGACAAAAAGATTAAGTGTCTAGTTTGCTATTTTTCTTTCTTCCTTCTGCCGAATATATTAAGTTGGTGGATCTCTAGACATGATGATATTACTAGTTGTGTTGTAATTCTCATCGGACCTTCTACAATTTGTACTCGTCTATGAACTAGGAAGTGGAAGTTCAGTTTTCCGATTCATTCCAGCTGGACTGATTTGCTTCTGGCAATAAACCACGATAGGACAAGTTATCCAGAATAGAATCATGTAAGAGCAATACAGATGTTGTGTTTATTGTTATCAGCGTCAAGAGGAGTGAGAGTTATGAGTCAGTTTCCGAGACGCTGACATAGGCAAAAGTGGCACAATGGCATGCTCACTTGTCGATCAACGTCATTGAAAACTACTATGACATGATATGTTAGTGGATCAGGACTTCCATTTCGTTTGTTTTCTTGTTTCTGTAGCGATTCTATAGCCATTTTTGAGAGCGGGTTTGTGTGACAGTATTCAAAGTTTAGGTTCACAATACCGGGGGTAAGTACTTTTCTATGCCTATTGAATGTGATGTTCTTCGTTATTCTACTTGTCCTCGATTATAGAAACACTTGCCGTAGATAAAATCAGCGAGGAGTCAGCGGAGATACATAGCTACGGGTACGTGTACACCATGACATGTAGAAAAGGATCTATATCACAATGTTCTCATCAAGCCTTCGAGAATGGAAGTGGCTCTTTGCCTTCCACGCCGGTTTTTGAATATCAAAAGTACGGTTAACATAAGCCCCTTTCTAGATATATCACAGTTTGCTTTCATAATCTACAGCTGACCTTCGTCAGGCTTTATAGCGAACCCCGATCCACCCGTTAAACCCGTTTGTTCCTACAGTAACCAATGAGGAACATCATTCTGGCCAATCCTCGACACTTTGCACAACTTTTGGTCCTATCCCCAACCATCAAACACCATTGGGCGGTAGCAAACCTCCCTGTCCATAGCTCTTCTTCTCTGACGATGATACGAGAGCGCATTCCCGATGGCCGGGATATTGTCTACTAGGAATGACTTGAAAATATGCGCTTCTCTTCCTTCAGGTTGTTAAAACATCATCCACCGGTATATGGTATGCATTATCTCTTAGTAATTCTCCTTGCGATGTCCTGATGGGCTATCTGGGCTTAGGAAGGGCCTTCTTCGATACGAACATCACGGTGAACCAGTGGAACAACTTTACTCAGGTTCAATGTTTCTCATGCATACGGCTCCGTGGGCTTTTTGGCAAGAGTCAAACTTGAGAAGCTCTTCTATCCCTCCGATGGATGAAAGTATCCCATCGGTAAGATGAACATAAATACCAGGTTAGTCTGCACTGATTTTCGTTCTGCACAGACACAATGAGCATCATATCGTGGTCCATCTTGAGCGTGGTTGTGCTGCTTGCAGTGACTGCACGCTACCGTGTGCGGCGTCGATCCATCAAGGACATCAGAGGACCCGCTTCGCCCTCTCGATTATTAGGTTCGTTTCGTGTTCTTGCAACATCAAATTTTACTGAACCCACAATACAACGTCTATAGGTAACGAAATGCAGTTTCGCCACGAAGAGGAAGTTGGCGACGTTCAATTCCAATGGCTTCGCCAGTACGGTACCACTTGGCGTACTCAAGGATGCTTTGGGGTATGTTCATATGTTGCTCGTTGTTCTAGTGCATATTAATACTCGAGTCTTTGACAAAAATTAGGAGGATGTGTTGTGGACAACAGACCCAAAGGCTCTTCAGTATATCTTCCATACATCTGGGTATCGGTTCCCGAAGACCAAGGCAATAGATCAATTTGCAAAAACTTTCGCAGGTCGAGGGATGGTTGCTGTTAAAGGCGTGTTGCCCTGTTACTCCTCATAGATGACACTGACAGTATATCTTTGATTAGGCGATGTCCACCAGCGTCAGAGGAAGATCTTGAGTCCTGCTTTTTCTGCAGGGCAATTGCGTACATTCCTACCGATATTTAGACATTTGGCTTCTCGTGTAAGAGGCTCTTCATCTGGCGTTTCCATCTCTTACATCATTTGCCCTTGCATCAGCTTAGTCAGAAGTGGAAGGATGAACTGGAGGCCAGCGTGTCTCACGAAAGTGCTATCATCAATATCCCTCAAATGCTGGCCAGAATGACATTAGATGTCATTGGTGAAAGTGAATGAAACTTCGTTCTGTCCTGTTGGGCGCATGCTTATATCCTTATCATTAGCTGCCTTTGACTATCAATTTGGAGCGCTAGACGACCAAAAGAATGAGCTTGCACGTGTCTTTAGGAACCTCTTGTAAGTCTCTCTTCTCCTGGTATATATCGTGTTTACATCGATTTTCCAGTGTCGATTCTATGCTCCGTCCACCTGCATGGGACTTGTTGTTCAAGGCTACGTGGCGCTACATTCCTGATCCCATTTTGCACTACGTTAGGCATTTGCCAACGAGGGAGTACAGCCGCTTCAAACAGTTCCTGGAAACCGCTTTCCGCGTTGGACAGGACCTCGTAGACCAGAAAGCGTCTTCCACGGAAAAGGGTGGTAAAGATATCATGAGCATCTTGGGTAAGTAACATCTTCTTCGAACATCGCAGCTGAACGTCAAGAATATTTCTTTAGTGCAATCCAGCATTACTGATGATGCCAAGAAACGTTTGAACAACGATGAGATGCTTTCCCAAATAGCGTGATTATCCAGTTGAAATATCTAACCGAACTAATTTGTGGCTGAGCGTGTTTGTTGATTCTAGGACATTCCTTTTAGCTGGTCATGATACAACCGCCAATACTCTTACCTGGACGCTATATGAACTCTCCAAGAGACCAGAAGATCAGAAGAAAATACGTGACGAAATAGTGGCCGCTCGCAAGGAGATGGAAGCGCGTGGGGATGAAGACTTCGTCCCTAGTGATTTCGACTCGATGCTCTTTATGAACGCCGTCATCAAGGTCAGTGCAAGTGCAGTGTTATCGGGATCCAAAGGAAATTCTGAGAATGGTAATTCAGGAGACTTTGCGGTTGCATCCTATTGTTCCCATGCTCTTCCGAGAAGCAGCCAGTGAGGATGTTATCCCCCTTTCTCAACCGATCGAGACTGTGTCAGGTAAAATCATCAATCAAGTTCCAGTTAGCAAGGGCCAAGTCATCAATATCTCTATCTGCACATACAACCGGTGAGTAGCATCATGCTCCCCAGTACCAACATTTCATCTAACGTGATTACAGACTACAGAGTGTTTGGGGGGAAGATGCAGATAGCTGGAACCCAAATAGATTCCTGGACGATAACAAGGAGAGACAGGCATCCGTTGGGGTTTTCGCGAACTTGTGCGTCTTTTCGGTTTGTCTCTAGTATCGCATTCTCATGATGTTTCGTTCACAATTTTCAGAATGACTTTTTGTGAGTAATGCTTGATATATATGGTGCGTAGCAATGAGCTAAATGCCTGGTGCATGTTTTGGGTAGCTGCCGGCATACGTGCTTGTATCGGGTGAGTCCACAGCAGTCTGTACCATTCCCTTACTGTGCTGATGATGTTACGTTGTAGATGGCGCTTTGCGTATGTACCGTCCCTCACGATGGCTTCAGCAGACCCACAAACTGACTACACCCGTTCTTGTTTGTATACAGAGTGTTCGAGATGCAAGCTGTTCTCACGGAGCTTATCGAGACGTTCGAGTTCAAGTATCCTGAGGGGATGGACATCGTGCGGCTCAACTCGGCAATCATGTCACCCGCCATCAAAGGGAAGGTGGAGATGGGGGTACAGCTGCCTCTGCATGTCTCGCTCGTGAATGGAGCCTGAATGTGTTTGTACTACCCCGACGCGATGGACCCCAACTGTGTTCGTATGATCTGTATCTCTCTATCGGTGTTGAAGATGTCCTGTTGAATGTATTTTGTATAGCTTTTTGTATATATATGCCGATGCGAAATGTGACTAACTTGTATGCTTCGTTGCTATGTTCCCTCAAACTATATCGAAGATAGCTGAACTTGGTTGTTGGAAGTGTTCACTACAGTTTTCATCTGTTAATATTCTTGTCAATGAAGAGGGATTAACAATTAACAGTACCTACCGTGACTTGCTTCATAAATGTGTCTTTAAATTCAAGTTTTATCCGGCGCTTGGTTCGATTGCCACTTGAAAGGATTGTCCTGTATCTCACTCAAGAAGTGTTGAATTTGTTCGCTCCGTTTAGTCCGAAATCGATGTCTCGATCTCAGACGCTCAAGATTTGACTCTCATCAAGACTTTCACCATAAGCTTCCAGGAACCAGCTGTCTTTCCCCGACTTTTACGATGGCACAGATGTTTTTATGTCGTCGAAATTCTGCATGTCATACTTTCTTCTGGTTATCTGGCACCTGATCCAAGTCCTCGAGCTCCTGGTCTTTTTGAGTCTGAAGTTAACATCTGGATGGAGAAATGCTATGGAAGGATTGTTGAGGTACTTCGTACACAAACTTTAGCATCTCTGGCAAGGACGTGTCGATGGTTCCACGAACCTGCATTGCAGGCATTGTGGTACCAACTGGACGACTTCGCACCTTTGATAAAGTGTATGCCTGGTGACCTATGGGAGATTTCCGATGATGGCAAGATGGTATGTCCTTACGTTGGAGCATGCGGGAAGTTGCAGCTTATCACAGCATTAATTATCTCGCAAACACTGCGACGTCCTATCAGGGTGACGGATTGGGTGATATTCGAAAAGTATGCACCTCGAGTTCGTACCCAGGCTCCTCCCCATCCACTGTTTCGAGGTTCAGAATGTATCCTAGAGAATAGAGACAATTGATCATCCCGACATCGCAAGAAAGCACCTGATGAGAAAATTTGAAAGTCAGCTGAACCTTGATTCTGAACCTCTCCACAGCGGCTGGACTTTAACATTTGTAAAGCAAGTCAGCCACAGTGACTAGTGACCGTCAAGTGACAGCTGACTTCGAAAAAGTAAGAAAAATAAAAATGATCCAAATTGGAAATTTGATCAAAGTTGCCCAATGTCATCCATTGGGGCTTCCCCATCAAGACATTGCATTATTCACATGCTGCCAGAAATTCGTGATCTAACAAAGGAGTGTATAGGCCTTTATCCATGTCTATTTCAAGCCAAAGTTGGGCAGGCAATAGCAAAAGGAGACCGGGATATTGTTTGACAGGATCATGCCCATCCTTAAAACACTTTCACCTCACAGGGATCGGTATGTCACGAGGAAGAATGAATCGTTCAGATTGTGACACTATCTGCAACGTAGTACAGAGCCATCTACACCTGCAGAGCATACAATGTGGTGGGCTGGATGAGCAAGCTATATTGAAGATAGGTGAACTTGCGTCGTTGAAACAATTCGGTCTACATATCAGCGGCCCTGTTTTTGAAGGGGGGTTGTCAATGACATCGCCTACTCCGAACTTTTGCTGCCTTACGTGGCTCCGCATCGCCGTGCCTGATCTTAGTAGTGCCTTGTCTTTTATCCACTTGGTTCAATCACCACTCAAACATATTTTCTTGTGTGTCCCTCAAAAACCCTCCCCTGATTTACTCCAAGAATTCGTCACGCTTGTTTCACGTCGATTTCCATTGGACTGCCTGACAACCATGATATTCAAAGTTGTTGGAGACCCCGGTAGTCCTTTCAAATACGCTACCAATTATTTCAGGCCTTTGCTGGATTTCCGACGAATGAACTTGAGCGGCTGAATTTGTACTCCACCTTTCCATGGGCCAGTACGACTCTCACATTTAGGGGCCTACTTATGTTGTTGAAGCATTGTCCCGGACTTAGAGAAATATAGATTTACTTTGACACGATGCTTCTGCCTTCTGCGGATGAATATGGTGGTGATTGGCCTTGCAATAAAAACATAAAGAAGATTCACCTGTCGGATTTGACTGTAGCAGACCCTTCTTCTCTGGTTGCCTTTCTACTTGCTGCTCTACCCGGCCTAATTGGCATACACTACTATGAATATGATCTGCAGGACGTAGTGTCAGAATGTTTCAAAGCACAAAGGAAGAAAGTGGATTCAGGCCTTGACACAGCAAGGGGAAACTTGGAGGAAATGTAGGCTATGGTGTATAGGGTTGAATATTGAAGTGATGTGCTTGCACTCTAGTGACTAGGACGTCAATCAAACATGGATACTTTCTTTGACTCCGAGTCAGTGTGCTTGATCAGGGCGTAGCATTGATTGCGGTCTGCATATATGCATAATAATAGGCCTGTTATGGGCATGTGATGTAGTATGTCTAGCGCTAAAACTTTGTCCAGACCAATGTTTCTATGAGGTTGCACTGACTCAAGCTGGCAATATTCGTCATCATGATGTGACGGACAGACGGCAGCTTTGCCAATGTGACAAAGACCGGTGGTATTTCTATGAGTCCGCAGCTTATCGTTCGGCGCAAGACTATTGTCAGATTCAATCGACGTTTTCAGCAAAGAACTGCCAAATTTCCGTGAGATATGGCGCCGTTACACCCAGTATTTAAAATTGCCCTAGGGACAAGGACTATAAAACCACACTGTCCGCGTGCTTGCCTTTCGTGCACCTTGAGGCCCCCCTCGCCCTGTCCAATAAGGCATAGGCTCTCCCTGTCCTACAGAGCCATGGTCGAAACTAAGAATACCGAAAAAGCCTCAGTGTCCCGGGAGTCTGTTTCTGATGATAACCCTGAACATGAAAAAGTCAGGATCGTCGCCATGCAAAAACAGGCACAACCCCTCCATCTTCAGTTGGACACCGGCGAGGAGTACACATTGTTCAGGCAGAGATGGTACCAGATCTGGTTTGTGCACCGTCTCTTCTTTTCTCTGGTTCTTTGGCTAACAATTGTGAATTACATACAGGCTTCCAAAAAACCCTCCTTTGCCAGCGCCTCCATCGCTCGAAGATGCAGAAGTGAGTATCATGATGACTTTTCAGAGCTCATTTACTAAAGACTAGTCAGCTCACTCCCCTTGCTAACACGTCTATCTTTTCCTTACTGAGCTATGCCTGGATAACTGACATCATGGTTCTGGGTTATCAATGCACCCTCCAAGCCTCTGACCTGTACAAAATATATGAATCACGTGAAGTGAAGTATCTTTCAGGATGACTCAAAGAAGCCTGGACACGCCGTGTGCTTCAAGCAAAAGAGTGGAACATAAAATTGCTGAATGGCGGGGTCAAACCTGGCACTTGGAGAAAAATACGGTGGGCTATACGGGCCATGCGAAAAAGACGGCAAGATAAATCAAACAAAGGCCCAGAAGATGAGGAGCTCAGCAAAACTTGGACAGAATGCATGGCAAGACTAGAGAATAAATGGCGCGAGGTCGACGGCAAGAAAGAGGCAAGCCTTGCATGGGCTTTAAACAACACTCTCGGGCGCAACTTCTGGTTGGGTGGTATCTTCAAGGTGTGTAGTATTTTATTACTGATGTAAATATATGAGCTCAAGTGATTCTCCTCAGGTATTTGCCGATACAACTCAGCTTATGGGACCTATTATTATCAGGGTATGTACCGGTCGTATTTTGTCATTTGTACAAAATGTAGCTCAGCCGCATTGATCAACTTACTACATCTTGAATTTTCAACAAAATTCAATTCATCATATAGCATATAATCACATTCAGCGAAGACCGTGCTGCGGCATGCGAAAGTGGTGCTCCTTTACCCAATATAGGGCAAGGAATAGGACTCGCCATTGGTTCATTCTTGATTCTTGTCACAACAAGTGTTTGTACCCATCAGGTATATGGCACCTTCCCTTTATTATAGTGTAGTCTTCAAAACGGCAAAATTTTGCCGCATCTTCTAATTGCTTAATTCCTTTTGCCAACCGCATTGTCCGTCCTAACATATTTGTCCAATCAATATAGTTCTTCTGGCGTTCAATGACTACAGGCCTCCTTGTGCGTGCAGCACTTATTCCATGTATTTATAAACGCAGAGTCAATCTCACAGGCAAAGCAAGAACAAAACTCAGTAATTCGACACTCATGAATCACATTTCCACAGATTTGAGTAGCCTTCGTGTCACGCTTCCCACATGCGCTGACTTTTTTGTGTTGTGTTCCTTTGTATATTGGGTGATCGTTGAATTCATATGTGGTGCTTGATTTACGGTTGGTGATCTTCTCGTCTACTTTTGTTGTCTGTTGGTAGGTCAGTAGAATAGATGCGTGTGCGTAGTGGTTTGTGAGTGTTTCATTCTATCTCACTGAATAGAAGAATAGGTAGTGATCGACTTTATGTAACTTACTTTTATAATAATTAGCATGCAGGTGTGTTCATCAAGTGTCAACAAAGAATATATAAAACTAACGCAACATAAACCTCTAACAAGCCTGGACTGCCCCAATTCAAGTTACCGTCTGTCTGATCATCCTTCTGACTGAGGTAAGCTTAGAACACCATGAACGCCTACCTCAACGCCTCTTATCGTTGCATCCTCAATTTCAACATATACTGATTTGTCTGCCTCAATGTCCTTTCTGCATCTTCAATGAAACAACAGCTTGGTCCATCGGCCTTGGCTGGCTTCGCACTCTTCCTCTTCATCATCCCCCTCCAAGAACGCGTCATGTCACTGCAATTCCGCATCCAAAAGCGGTCAATGAAATGGACAGACCAGAGAGCAAAAGTTCTGCTCAAAATACTGGGTGCAATGCGTGTCGTGAAATACTTCCCATACGAAGTCCCGTTTTTACAGCGTCAGTTGTATATCTTTTGGTTCATTGTTATTTGTTTCTTATGAGATAATATTATATTCATATTCTAGGCATATTTGATCTACATAAGAAGGAACTCGGAGGCATCAGGAAGATCTTGCATTCCAGCTCTGCAAAGTGCGTTTGGCATTTTCTATAGGGACGATTGTTGAATGCGGAAGCTGATGTGCTACATAGTTTTGCGCTCGCCTTGTCTCTCCCCACGCTCGCAGCTACCCTCACCTTTGTGACATACACGCTGACAGCCCATGATTTCAACGTCGCCGTTATCTTCTCCTCCCTGGGTGTAACAACCAAGAGTTAGTTACTCTGGCGCACACAAGAACACACTATAAGGGTAGTGAATGGGGAGTGGTTACTCCTTAGGCTGCAGAGAGTTTGTTGGTTAACAACAGGAGGACTTGCTGAGGAGTCTCCTGGATTTATTTGGGTATATATACTAATACAGAGTGTTTGTACTTATGTACTATACAGTTGATAAAGTCAGTGGCTGATGATGTCATGGGGTCTAGCCCGCATGACCAGCTCCACTGTGTGAGAGAGTTGTATCTAAAAATAAGAAGAAGGCAACGCGGCGCGAGAAAGAGGAGTTTGAACAAAAGGGGAAGTGCCACATGGCACCATGTGTGAAAGCTAAAGTATACAAGGTTAAAGCAGAGAATGAAAATGAAGGAAAGGTCCAAAAGAAATTGTGTTATCGTAACACTGGGTCTCTTCCAGCTCCTTCGCCAGCCTATGATGTTCATGCCACGTGCAATGAGCAATATTCCCAACACTGCTAATGCACTTCAGTGCCTTACACGTGTGTTCCAGTTCCACGCGGATCTGATGAAGGAAAAGGCATTTGAGGTGGACAAGGAACAAGGTCCTGCATTGATAGTTGAGAATGCAATTTTTGAATGGGAGGTGTTTGCAGAAGCCATGGATGAGGAGAGGAAGAAAAAAAAGGGAGGAAAGGCTATAAAGCAGAAAGCAGAGGTAACGAAGGCAGCAGAAGGGAAGGAAGAGCTGTCCAAGGTCAAGGATGTGAATATGGTGGTTCCTTGAGGGAGTTTGGTGGCTATAGTTGGGCCCATTGGATGTGGAAAGGTAAATCCCTCGGTGTATGTTACAAGTGATTATAATGCTGATACCGTTTACAGTCCAGTTTACTTCAGGGCTTGATTGGAGAGATGAGGAAAGTTTCTGGAAAGGTTTCATTCGGCAGTCGTGTAGATTATTGCCTGCAAACGGCATGGATTCAGAATGCTACTTTGGTCAGAATTTTATCTCATGGTAATCTTTTTAGATGCTGAAATGATGTTTTGTAGAGGGACAATGTCACGTTCAGCCAGCCTTTTGACGAGGACAAGTACTGGCATGTCATAGAAACTGCTTGCCTTCTCCCCGACTTACAGCTGCTTCCTGATGGTGATCTTACAGAGGTTAACTTGTCCCGCGTATGTGCGCTTCAAGGGTATGCTGATTGTTTTGTAGATTGGTGAAAAGGGTATTAATCTCAGTGGTGGACAAAAGCAACGTGTAAGTCCTTTTTTCAGGATTGGACTGGAGATTCGAAAAATACTCATCTAGTTCTCATAGGTGAATATTGCTCGAGCATTGTACTTCAATCCTGATATCGTGATTTTTGATGATCCTTTGTCAGCTGGTACGCAAATGCCTTGATAATTTAAGCACTGATTTTAACAATATTCCTCTTAGTGGATGCCCATGTTGGAAAATCCCTCTTTCAAGATGCCATTGTCGGATATCTTCGCAATTGCGGCATCACAGTCATCCTCGTTCCCAGTGCAATCACATCTACACCATCAACAATGGTGCCATCGTCAAAAGTGGAACTTATGACCAGCTCATCTCAAATTGCAGGAATTTTGCTCGTCTGGACAAGGAATTCAGCGGTAATGCAACTGGAGATAAAGCTGAGGAAGCAGTCGAGGAAGTTGTCATACCGCAGCAAGGTGCTACAATTGATTATGCAAAACTCAAGTCGCAAAATGCAAAGAAAAATGCTGCAGGAAGCGGAAAGTTGGAGGGAAGATTGATGGTCAAAGAAAAGTGCACAACTGGTTTGGTGTCCTGGGGTGGTAAGGATCTCACATGCTACGCTTTTTGATGCCACTAAAGCGTATTTCACAGTTTACTGGACCTATCTTGTTGCGGCACGAGGGTTATTTACTGCTCCTCTGGTGATATTATTTGTGCTTCTTATGCAAGGCAGTCAAATCATAAACTCATATGTCTTGGTTTGGTGGGAGGCAAAGTAAGTTGATGCTCTTCTATAATTGATTATATATATACTGATGTCTGGTTCAGCACCTATAATCAACCTAACTCTTTTTACCAGATCTTGTACGGGGCTCTTGGTGTGTCTCAAGCAGTGTTCACTTTACTTCTGTGAGAGTGAATATGTCGAGCTCGAGAAACATTGGCTGACGATCCTTCAGATGTATTGCGATGGATTATATGGCTTTTTTCATTTCGCAAAATCTGCACCACAATTCAGTCAAAAACATTTTCTATGCCCCTATGTCGTTCTTTGATACTACTGTAAGTCTATCTTTTTGGCAGCCTCTTGAGCCCTCTGACAGTTGTCCACTTAGCCAATGGGACGTATATTAAGTGTCTTTGGAAAAGATGTGGACAGTTCGTCTCTTTTTGTTTATGATGTGTTTCACTAGCTGATGTTACCCTGTACCAGCAATTGATAACCAGTTAGCCCATAAGTCACTACACAAAACCTCATTTATTGCGATTATTAACTGTGTGACTTTCCTTTCAGTGTCGATAAGATTATTTGTGCCCGATATTTTGTTACTCCTCTTGCCCTCTATTTAACATATATGTTTACAGTTGTCATTACTATATCATCAGTGGTAATTGTTGCTATATTAGAGCCTTACTTTGGTAAGTGGATGCAGTCAGAGAATGCTAACGCTCGGCGCTTATCATATCCTCCAGTCATAGCTGTTGTTGTTATTGCTGTAGGCTATAGCTACTTCACTGCTTTCTATCGTGCCAGTGCGCGGGAGGTGAAATGTTTAGGTGAGTGATTGACCCAGCGCCCTTTTGCTCCATAGTTGCTGATGCATGAACATAGATTCGATGCTTTGTTCTATCCTTTATGCTCACTTCTCAGAGACGCTTACGGGTCTCCCGACTATTCGAAGTTATGGAGAACTTAATCCATTTATAAGGGACAACAAGTACTATATTGATCTCGAAAACCGAGCATTGTATCTCACCGTTACAAATCAAAGGTACGAGTAAGCTGAGTTTCAGGTGGCTGTCCATCTCATCCCGTCTGTTAGGTGGCTGGCTATCAGACTAGACTTCATGGGTGGTGTTCTAGTTCTCATTGTGAGTTCATAGTTTTCATTCTAGGGTGCACGATCCTTAGCAATGTCAGATCGGTCTTTTCTCCATTATTGGGGTGTCAGGGATTAACCCTGCACAAATTGGTTTGGTATTAACATATACAAGTGAGTAGTTGTTTGATTGTGCTCTTTCTCCACTCACGTAACATAGCTTCAATGGCTCAAATGTGCGGACTGGTGACACGTCAAACTGCCAAAGTGGAGGTATGCGCGCTATATCTTATTTTTCTTGCCTACGGCCACTGACTCCGTCGAACAGAACTACATGAACTCTGTTGAAAGAGGTAATAAAATGAAATCATAACTCTCTCATCATCTTTTCCTTACTGGTACCTCATAGTTGTTCACTACAGTCGAGGAGACATCATTGACCAAGAGGCACCACATGTGATCGAAGATAACAAACCACCTCCAGAGTGGCCAATGTGTGGAACCATCGAATTCAAAGAAATCCAGATGAGCTATAGACCTGGATTACCCAACGTCCTGAAAGGAATATCCATACAGATAAAAGGAGGCGAGAAAATTGGTGTTGTTGGAAGGTTTGCTTCACAAGTGGTTGGCTGCAGTATGTATCTTGATCTTACGTTTCTTCTAGGACGGGTGCAGGAAAATCATCCTTGATGCTGGCATTATTTAAAATCGTAAAATTGTCTTCTGGAAGTATCACAATTGATGGGTGAGTGCTGATGTTTGTGGTAGATGATACTTTGTCAACATTTGTGTTTAGTATCGACATATCAACTCTTGGCCTCAGCAATCTTAGAACAAAAATTTCCATCATTCCTCAAGATGTATGTATGGTAATCATTTGTTTGAAATCAAGACTAATTGATCAATCATGTCTAGCCTCTACTTTTCAGTGGTAAGTTGTTATAGTTTGCTCGGCTTCGTTAATGCTGATGTCATTTTGTCTAGGAACAATACACTCCAATTTAGATCCATTTTCTCAGTATGATGATGCCCAATTATGGGATGCTCTACACAGGTCATATTTGGTTAATGCTCCCACGACGAAACACGAATTCTTCTTTTCAGACAATACTTCTGGAGAGCATACACCAATCAATTGTTTCACTCTTGACACTATAATAGAGAGTGAAGGCGCAAATTTAAGTGTCGGAGAATGGTCTCTCCTGAGTCTTGCTCGTGCACTAGTGAAGGACAGTAGAGTGGTTGTCTTGGACGAGGCGACGTATGTTGGATTCATCACCTGCTTTTGCTTCCAATGTCTCACTTTTAGATTCAAGAGCTTCCGTTGATCTGGAGACAGACAGCAAGAGTCAAAGTACAATACAGTCTGAATTCAGCGACCGCACACTTCTATGCATAGCTCGTAGGTTCTTTTCTTGTCATCAAAGTACAATTGTTGACACAAGTTGGGAAGATTGTCTGCGAACCATCATCTTGTACAATTGTATACTCATTTTGAATGCCGGTTTGGTAGCAGTAAGTTCTCGCCTGCCTCTTTGAACAGGGAGAGGGGCTCATGAGCTGAACAGGAATTCAACACACCATTGAACTTGTACAGGAAGGAAGACGGTATTTTCCGTGGTATATGTGAAAGAAGCAACATATCCCTCAAGGATATGGAAATAGGTGCAGATACTCTTTAGATTTATGACCCAATTAGATGTGGTGCACAAGAATTAACTTTGGAATGCTTTGCAGAGATAATCATAAATGTAACGTGTATGACTTGTATGAAACATTTATTTAGATTTTTTGAAATGAATGAATGTTGATATGTGATTTCATTCAATGTGAAGGTAGATGATTTCGAAACCTGGTTGATCATCACAAATATCCCGTATATTAATGATTGGTAAATAAGATGTTGTACACATGGGTAGGTCATAATTCTTCTACGTGTTGGTGAATCAATCAATCAATTTGTTTTTTTTGCACAAATGGTTACTCTAATAAAAGTATCTATAGTTTTGTATATGTCAGCATGTCATTTCATTTCATAATTCAGCCTCCTTTTGCTTTGGATGCAGATACAATGTCTTTCCATGAAATCAAAGAACGGTCACATATGCCCCTGAATAATAATCTAAGTGAAACTCAATAGATGTTAGTTTAAGGTAATCTCTAATAAATGTAATGTAACATACCTCAGCTGCTGCCTAAGAGGCTATAGAAACGACTGAGGTATTCCTATACTAAACCCCCTACTACTTATAGTCAGAGGTGCTACTCACTACAGTATAATGACTCCTAGGAGAACAAGGGTGACTCCATGGAATGATGGCTATGCTCCATGGAGAACAATGGCTGCTTTAGCAGAGACCGGGTTTATCCGGTTTTGTCACTGAATATGCTGTTGAGCATGGAATACAGTACAGTGGGTGTGTCAAATTCCCGCCAATGTATAGTAGTGAGAACAACTGCTATAGAGAAGATGAAGAGATACAATGCTTACAGCAATACACCCAGCATCAAGCACACAAATCCTGTTGTAAGTGATAATAGTGCATAAGCAATCTAGTGTTGGAATAGTCAAGGTCAAAGCCTGTTAGCCTTGTTAGACAACATACATCATGAGTTGACATTAGTGTAAGGGCTAGTAGCTCAGTTGGCTAGAGCACTGCCACATATAGGCAGAGGTCCTGGGTTCAATCCCCAGCTGGTCCACTTTGCTTTTATGCACTCCCTGTGGTCAGGTGGCTATGTGAGGTCACATGGCTAAATCCAATATTTAGTATTGATTGCATGTTAGCCATTGCTTCAGTCATCTCAAATTCATGTGTACGTATAAGCAATGCACAATATTGTCCTCTCCTTGAATTTGGTTGTGATAGTTTCTTGAATTCTGTGATTGGTCTCATAATTGATGAAAGCTGAATCATGAACAAGTCAGATAAAATTAAGAAAGCTTTTGTGAGTGTATGAAGAAAACATACCTGTTACCTCGTCCAAAATAAGCAACTTGGTATCATTAACAAGAGCTTGTGCCAACAGCACCGACAATCACTGTGAAAATATTATAACAGTCAACAAACTGATTCCTTTCTTTGAAGCCCAACAACAATGACTTACCTGGCCAACCAAGAGATTGCCCCTTTTGTGGTCAATAGGGCTGTCTAGAGTGAATTGAGCAGCTGGAGCCTGTGTTTTGCTCTGTGACTTGGTTTGTGAGTCTTCAGGTAAAGCCTCCTTGGTGGCTTTAACAAGGTGAGATTACTTCAATGCATCCCATAGCTGAGCATTGTTGTGCAGCTCGAATGGATCCAAATTTGTTTGTAGTGTGCCTAAAACTAGGTATATCACACACCCTCATCAGCTTGGAAACAAAAAGGAAACAAAGGAAGAAAGTTCACGCACATAGGAACTAAACAGGAATATAATGTAGGATAGCCAGAGTGGATGTAAGTTATTGCTGTCATGCACCAAAGTTGATTGGTAGCATGGACAGGTGTCAAAAATGAAGCAAATATTCAAAAGGCTTGCCTTTGCGCCACACAGGCATAGTGCCACATGGAATAGTAATTAATATTGCCTTTTTCGAACTTGTGGCTGATCAGCACCACCCCTATTAGGCAATCAAATTGCACTTGCCTTTGCTTTCCATTTGGAACTTTCTGCATTTCTGCATTTTGGCAAATTTTTGCATCGTCACTGGCTACACATTGCACCCTTGCTTTTGTTGTTCTCATTTACCTTTTTTTCTTTACTCAGCCCCACCATGAGCCCCTTACTCTCTTTTTTATTCTCACTGGACGGTCGTTTCTGGCTCCCTATTCTAGTCCACTTCCTCATCACCACTGGCTACACATTGTGCCCTCGCTTTTGTTGTTCTTCCTTACTTTTTTCTTTACTTAGCCCCACCATGGGACCCTTGCTCTCTTTTTTATTCTCGCCCGACAATTGCATCTGGATCCCCATTCTAGTTCACCTCCTCGTCACCTCCACCCTCCTCCTGCTCGTCATCCTTGCTCCCCCACCATACCTGATGTCATCACTCTCTATTTGCTTCTGTCGCTGATCAATTGACCACCACGTGCCACTGCTGATATCAGCAAAGCCCCGGTGGCTGGTCCAAATTGGGCAACAGATCCATCTTCATGACATCAATCTTCCATTGTATACCATCAAATCATTGGTCACTTGTCTCGCCTGGTTGGAGTGTGGATGGGTAGTTTTCGAGCTGGAGAAGGTTCATCCCCTTGCGTCGCCCATGTTCATTGCTGTCCCATTCACTTGGGTACACTTATCTTTTGTCCATCGTCTTTGCTACAGCTACACCTACCACACGCTGCCTGGGACTCACTTGTTCCAAATTGGAACTACTCCTCTCCCTCCCTCGTTTGATCAGGTGGTCCAATACAACCAGTCTGTTGGTAAGGCCATGGAACCATCAGATTTAGACTAGGTGGTGGACTGGTGGCTCCAGTTTCTTTTTTTTCAGTAGAACATTCATTTATAGTGCAATTAATTTTGATTTTTGAATCATTTTTATGGACATATATTTTTTTAGAATGCCTGACTGACAATAAAGGAATTGTGCTGATACTGATATTGTTTTGTTTTTTACTGCATCTTCCGATGACTTCATGATTTTCTTGCTCTCTTTCTGTTATTGGACTTTATTTTATGGCTGTACAAACCTGTGACATTACTTACACAGCATTTATTGTTCTATCCCTTTCTTTTCCTTATTTTGATGATCTTATCCTGTACTAACTACGCAGGATTCGTCAGTGTACATTCCTTCTTTCATGTTCTTTCTCATTCTTTTTGCACAGCTATACTGTGCATAGCCTACCTTTCTTTTACTATATAAACCCCTGTATTTTACCTTGTAAAAAAACAACAAGAACTCTAACTTCTTCTCTAATCTCAAGTCACTACTCTGCTATCTGTGATCCAGTGTGGTTACAACAGTTCCCACTGCTACCACTGTTAACTGCTGTCATTGTCACTCTCATCACTTTTGAAAGTGATTGTCATCCCTTTCAATTAGAGTCCTTCTGAGCACTACAGTTTGTGCGTCAGGAGCCTGCTATCACTGGGAATCTTGTCATCTCATCGCTCTTAAACCTACCTTGTGCTACAATTAGCAAGGTAGTGCTTGTACATTCTCGTCATAAAGCCCCTATCTTCTATAGCTCAACTATCCCTTCTCCTCAAAAACCCACACCCGTACATCTCTGGGTTTTACTTTGAAGAATTGTCATACATACCACCCCACAAACAACCAGAGCACCCACTGTTCTAGGAGGCAAAGCCCATATACAAGTTCCGTGGAATCTGGGAGAATTGTGTGTTAGTTTGTTTTTGTGTGTGGTTTTCTAACAACAGTTCTCATCATCGACAGTGCTCGCTTGTATGGGAGGTACGTTGCCCATTTTATCAGACAAAGTACGACTCTTGTACAGCCATATGTGATGACACATGTGCTGCAGACATGACAGAGTCTTTCTTTTATTCCTGGCCATTTCAGTTTATGCTACTATCACCTCCCACAGTCTGTCTAACAACCAATAGCAGACATTTGTGATATTTGTGATAGAGAGCGGCAAGAGAGCGGCAACGCTAATACACTGTCACTGATAGTCGATGGATACATTGTGATAGAGTGCCGAGGTGCCGAGGTTCAGCGCACATACGACTCCTTCAGGCCCGCCAGTGCCGTCTAGCGCTGACTCAGCACGATGACCAATGAGCGAGAATGGAGAGACGTACCTGATAAGGAGCCATGAGCGGGAACAGATCTCGCTCTGTCAGCCTCATCTTCCTGACTCTGCTTATGTGATCAGCCTCTGACAGCATCCGTTTGAAATACCGCGCCTGTTGTGACATCAGTGACTCCCCGCTCGGTCACACTTTGTCACGGCACTCACCTCCTGTTCTTCGACCAATGTCCACGCGTCGCCTTCCCTCCCTGCCCGCGCTGTTCTTCCCACACGGTGCACGTACTTCCGCATGTCCACCGGCACGTCGTAGCTCACCACGTGCGACACGTGACTCATATCCATCCCTCGCGATATCAGGTCAGAGCATACCAGTCTGTCCCCTCCTCAGCGCATTCCTCGCAGGGTAACGACACGCGTACTCACATCTGTATCTCCTCCGCCTTGAACTTTTCCAATATCCCCCTCCGCTCTCCAACTGACAGATCGCTCGAGTACGCTTTGGCGACCACCCCCAACCGCCCTTCACCCGCAACCGCTTTCTCGAACAGCTCAAACAACCTCACAAGTCTAGCAGTCGACTCTGCTGACTTGGTAAACACAAGCCCGTTCCTCACCTTGTGTCGCTGCACGAGGTCAAACAGCACAAGCGGCTTCTCAGACGATGCACACACGATCATGTGTTCCTACTCTCCTCATCAGCACCCACGAACAACAACAGAGATAAAAACGATCGCACCCGCAACGTAGCAGGCATCGTATACCGCTCCATCACCACATCCAACACCCCCTCCTCCCTTCCCCCTCTCGCCTTCTGCACCACAAAATACTTCACGTCCCTCAACTGCAGCCCCGCCAACTTCCCCGGGTCCCGAGGGAGCGTGGCGGAGAAGAGCAGCTTTTGGCAGGACGAACTCGGTTTTTCGTCCATGTATCCGTATGTGTTGGCTATCGCGTATTTCGCGTGCAGGAGCGGGGGCGCCAGTCCGTCTGCGCATCCAAACGTCTCCTCTTCCTCCGCCCTGGGCGTACCGCTACTTGGAAATGTCGTGGGTCGTGTGGCGGTAACGACGCGCGCAACCCAATCTTGGAATGACTGCGCGAGCAGCCTGTCGGCTTCGTCTATCACCTGTCAGTCAGTGGCGTCAGTGTTTGAGTTTGAGTTTAAGTAACAAAGTGATAGAGTGATAGTGTTAGAGTGGTATCAAGACAGTGGATCAAAGTATGAAATAGGGGCCGTGCTTTGTACCGGTGGGGAACGCGGTGTGTGAACACGACAAACATAAAAGGTAAAGCGAGCCGAGCCCAGAGTCTGATAACACCCAAAATGACAAACGACCCAAAAGAAGGAACAAGGAAACAAATTGACAAACGACCCAAAAGAAGGAATAAGCAAACAAGGTGGAAGCCAACCACGTACAAGGAACCGCAAATGCTGCAACGAGAAATTAGGCGTTCCGTTCATATGGTCCACCAGTCTGCCGGGCGTGCAGATCAAAATGTCGATCTTGCTTGAGCCGCCGAGGAGTCTGCGGGTGCGGTGTGGCGGGTAGAGTGTGGGGTGTGTGGAGTGGGGTAAGGTGGGGAGAGAAGGGTGAAAGAAAGGGTGCGGTAGGGAGGAGCGAGTGTAACATTGGGTGGATAGGAAAGGTGTCAGTAAATCTTACTGCATGGTAAAGAGATGGGAATGAAAGGGATCAACGTACCCAGACGATCTGTCCGCTATGAGCTGACTCTGCTCATGTGCGAATGAGTGTTGGCCCGTCGCAGTGCCGACCTGCAACAACGCCCATCGTCATCGTTCAGTAAGGCACGATAAGCACGCTACACAACCCAAGATATCCAAATAAAAATAATGAAAGGAAATAAAATAGAATAAGGACAAGGGAAAATGCAGAATGCAGAATGCATCACCGAGCTCACTCCCGAAAAAACAGAGAAGGAGCAACCATACCAGACGCGACGCGAACTCAGCAACTCACCTTGAGCCCCCTGCCCTTCCCCACCTCCTCAAACGTCTCCCGCACCTGCATGACCAAGTCTCTCGTGGGCAGCACGACGAGCGCGCGGAGGCGCGTGATGATGCGAGATGAGAGCGTCTGATAGGTTGTCGTCGTATGGTCATATATCATACAGTCCGGTCAATCCGTTATCCACCAACCTACCGCGCAAAACACGCACTCACCTCGACAATGGGAAGCACGTAGGCGAGCGTCTTGCCGCTCCCTGTGGGCGCTGAGACGCACACGTCCCGCGGGGGCGCGTAGGGCGCGTAGAGGCCCCGTTTGCGGGCGTCGCGCGGGAGGAGGAAGGGGAGGAGGCGGGTTTGGACTGGGGTGCAGGGGAGGTGGGTGAGGGTGAGTGAGTGAGTGTGACGAGGAGGGGAGACGTGTATGGGATGGGACGGGACGGATGTGCGATAAGGCGAGAACGAGGTATTACGGATAGATGAATAGGATGAACGGATGAAGGAAGAGGGGAAACGTACCTGCAAACAACTCCGTGATCCCCAGCTCCTTCAGCCTCCTCCGCATCTTCACCGAAAGACCCGTCTCGCACGCGTCCTCCTCCGCACCCCCGTCGTCTTCCTGGCCATGTTTGTTTTTGCGGGAGGAGGAGAGAGGGGGAGGGGGGAGAGTGATAGGCATCGACGTGCCCGGATCGACGAACTCGGCGTCGACGAGGGCGTCGTCTAGACCCTGGAGCGCCAGATCGGATTTGGAAGGCGCATTGGGGAGGGAGGGGAGGGGGAAGGACGGGAGCGTGCCTTTGGGGAGTGGGGCGGGGGAGGCGGGGCGTACGAGCAGTGTATCAGCGTCCGGATCGGGGGCGAGGTCTGAGTCTTCCCTGTCACGCCCTTCGTCCGCTGGGAGCATGTCCAAGTCTTCTTTTTCGTCTGCGTGTGCGGGCGGGGAAGGCGGGGAAGGGGAGATTTTTCGTTTTTTTTTGTGTCGTTTTGGGGGGTCGTCCTCGTCGTTTTGGTTTTCCTTACTCGCCTTCTCCTTCCTCTCCTTCTTATCCTTCTTCTCCTTCTTTTCTTTCTTGTCTTTCTTGTCCTTCTTTTCTCGCGGCTTCTTCACCCCATCTTCCTCCTCATCCAGGCCCATTTCTACATCTCCATCCTTATCCACATCCACATCTACATCTCTGTCTCGCATCGCGTCGTCGAGCCCTAGTTCAAGTTTTTTTTCTCGCGTTTTCTTGGTCGAAATCGGATGTACTAAGTGAATAAACAGGAGACAATTTGTTTTTGGAAATGAGTGTTACAAAGGTAATAGCCACTGGTAGTACAGCACAGCCACATAGTGTAAGGGATCGCCAGTGAATCGGAGCACAAAATCTATCCGAGTCTACATGCTTTTCCTCCGTATGCAACGGACGCGTTACCCGACCATTCGTTTGATTGACTATCCGTCAGTGCTTGCCTCGTACGACTGACGAGTCGAAATGAAACCAGCAGAAGGAAAGAAGGAGGGCAAAGAAAGGCGAAAAGGAGGGCAGCTTGAATAAAGCAGAGGAGAATTTATATTAAAGGGAGAGACCCAAACCAGGACTCTTTTCCCCAGCTGCAGAAATCAAGCTTCATCCAGTTTAATGTCAACCTCGCCGAGAAGGCAGCTCCCTACTCTGAAGCCACGATTCGCCCATCGTGTTTTTGCGCTCGTTGATGACACTTGCGTAAGCGTATAATCCATACGGTATGACGCGTTTGCTCTCGAGGAAGAAATCTATCCAAAAGGTATGTTGTGTCGCTTCATACATTGTCCCGTGGTGTTTCATTCCGTTCTCGTATTCTAGGTTTTCCGGTAAAGATAGTAATGCTAGCCTGGATTCCTGTTGTCACGGTGTCAGATGTTTCTACGCACGTCGATACCACTGCAGCCCCGCCAAAGCCCGCCGTCGATCCTGTACATTTCCTTGAAGCTCCACCTCGACTTCGAGGAGGATGCCTAGTATATTGTCCGTAAAGCTATTTGAGATGGAGTGATGGAGGGCAGGATCGTTCACGAGTGGGGATGGATAAAATGTGGTAGCCAAAACGACGGATACGGTCTTGAAGTCAACAGAAGATTATCCAGGCGGATTGCGGATTGGATATTGGATACTGTTGAGAACCGCATAACCAAAACGTGAAAGTAAGCTTGGCTCCGCAGTGTCTCTTCGCCCTTGCTCTACCGTGATACTGACAAACCGTTAACTACTACTAGGCTATGCCCCGCTCAACGCTCACCAGAAGCAGCTACGTAGTTTATTGATATGAGTCTGGTTTACCATCAAAGTCAGGTTCCTTGTCAACACTATAATATACATTTAATCATCTAACCCGCAACAAGAAAAACACTTGTAGTGTCTCATCATCCAATTTCCCCGACATCGATTCCTTCCAATTTCCCTTCGCTGTATCAAGGCCTGTATCATACACCCACACTCTTCCTTTGTTTTTCAAAACATTCTGACACTACGTCCTTCACATCCAAGTCGTTGCAGTGTATGCCAGTTAGATTGGGTAGAACAGCACATAGAAAGGCAACCACAGAACAAGGGTCCGCTATACTCGAATCCGACAGATAGATCTCCTTGATGTTTTTATTGCAAGGCCAATCACCACCAAATTCATCCGTAGAAGGCACAGACGTCGCGTCAAAGAAAATCTCTATTTCTCTCAGCCCGGGACTATGCTTCAACAGCAGAAGTAGGCTGCTAAGCGTGAGAGCCCCCGTGTTCCATGGAGAGGAGCGCAAACTCAGCCGCTCAAGTTCAGGCCATGCCATTATCAGCTCCAGTATCAAATCATCATCCCACACATTCCTAGCGCCTCCTAGCGCCAAGTTTTTCATCCGTCTGAAGCCCAACAAAGGCCTGATACAATCGATAGCAAATTTGAGAGGAGTAGAGTTGAGATCAAACACTTCAAGTATGATAGATGTCAGACAGTCCGATGAAAATCGACGTGAAACAACCATGGAGAATTCTTGGAGTATATCAGGGGAAGGTGTTTGAGTAACATACAGGACAATCTCTTCAAGGGGTGATTGAACCAAGCGGATAAAAGACAAGGCACTGCCAAGATTAGGCGCGACGATGCGGAGCCATGTAAGGCGACGGAAGTTTGGAGTAGGCAGTGTCAACCCCCCTCCGAAAATAGGGCCGCTGATATGTAGACTGAATTGTTTCAACGATGCAAGTTCAGCTATCTTCGATATAGCTTGCTCGTCCAGCACACCACATCGCATGCTCTGTAGGTGTGAATGGCTTTGCACAAAGTTGCAGATAATGCTACAGGCCAAACCATCCGCTGCCCCCTGTGGTTTGTTACACCCTATGAGGTCAAAGTGTTTCAGGGATGGGCATGATCCAATTAGATATTCCACGGCGGCTAAGCCGAACATGTTATCCAGGACCTGGATGGTCATAGAAACAGAGACGAGTGTAGGGCTGAATAGAGAGATAAGAAAATGCAGTAGGTCCTCCGTGTTCCCTTGATGGCCACTATTGAGATATCCTTTAGGATATGTGTACTCATGGCAACGGAGCAGCTCGAGCCCCGGAAGGAGGGGAGCGGAATGGGTGCGAGCGTACGGTGGTCGTTTGGTTACGGTTGGAATTTTAAACACCGCGGAACACGGCATCTTAGTATATTCAACAGCCGCTTTTATACCTCTAATTTGCCCATGCAGTGTGACCGTGATTGTTGTGAGTATCAATATTATTATAAAATGTGCTTTGCAAGTACAGGGAAAATTGGTGGGGACCAAAATGTCACGAATATGGAAAGGAAAATAGTTACTACATAAAATTTGTACTGCAAAGTTCGCAGGCAGGCCAGGGATTGAGTGCAAGGGGGTACAAGGCATATGTCAGCTGGAAATATTAGGTAAGCAGAAAGTCACGCTTACCTACTTTGCATGCTCAGTCAACCTCGAGTGGCCAGAGTAATAAAAAAAAATTGGGTTTTAGCTGATCTGTGGAGTGAGCGTTGTGATGGAATGGATCCAGAATAGTGACTGCAGCGTTGGACGAGATTGAGCACTCAGTGAGCGGTAGTAAGGAAAAAACCTCGTCGTGTGATGGTGTGACCTGTAACTAATAACATGGCCACAGATCCGCATAACTGTGCAGTACTAAATTTTCTATGGCTGTCGCACTATAGTCAACTAACCAAGCCCTGTCATTCAGCTCAGATAATCTGGCCATACAATGTTGCTAATTTGGTGGTCATATAACGGTATAGCAACCCTGGTGCCGTGGATAAAACGTGAGTTTTTATTTTATTCTTGTTTTATGACTTTATCACTTGTTGCCACAGTTGCCACCCACGTTTTACGGGCAGTCACATATTGTAAGTTATTATATTATCCGTGTTTATTGATTCATCCAGGTATTCTCGCTTTTGCACCGGCATTATCATCTCTTGTTTCCTGCTCGTTGATTACTTTTCTGTTTTTTCAATGTAAATATAATAAATACAGGCTACCACATATGAGAATAAGCACAATATACTACATTCATTTTTACAGATATGGTCATGCCCTTAGGAATATTCAAAGAGACCTATCGAAATTGTCGGTCGTTGAAAGAAATCCGATGCCGTCGCCGGCATTCCAACCGTAACCAAACGACCACCGTACGAGCGAATATGCTAAGCAGCGTTGAATCATATAGCTCCAACACTGGATTCCATAGAATCAGGGTGCGAACTCGAGAAGCATATTTGTCAAATATCGCCCAATCTGCCGCCCTGATAGTACGTCGCAGTGTCTGCGAGAAATTTTGTTTTGTGATAAGTTGCAATATTTTCCGCAAGCTCCCACATAAGGACGTACAATCGTTTTGTGCATACCATTACGGGAAACCTCCCATAGGTCACCAGGCATACACTTTATCAAGGGTTCAAGGTCGTCCAGTTGATACCACAATGCTTGCAATGCAGGCTCTTGGAACCATCGACATGTTATTGCCAAAGAGGCTAAAGTTTGTGTACGAAGCACTTTAACCCCTCTGTCGTGTTCCCAATGCCTGTGATATTCAAGCTCGACGAGCCAAGGGCATTGAATAACCTTGGGAACTCGAGGACTTGGATCAGGCGCCAGATAACCAGAAGAAAATATGGCATGCAGAATTTCGATGACAGAAAGACATCTGTGCATTGTAAAAAGTCGGGGGAAGACAGCTGCTTCGCTGAAGTGAAAGTCTTGGCGAGAGAAAAACTTTGAGCGCTTGAAGCTCGAGACATCGACTTCGGACCAACGGAGCGAGCAGACTTGCCATGTTGTAATAAGCTGAACACTTCTACTTCGATATCGGCCAACAGGGAGAATGTATAACGCTTTACATGAGAACCTTGCTACAAACGATAGTGTGACTGAGCGTGACTTCGTTCAATACTCGGTCGCGGTGTCAGCGAATCTGTTGTCCGATATTTGAATTCGATTCTGAGGTGCTTATCTTTCTCCTGAGCGTCACCTGCGTCTCTATTTAGAGGACCAGTTTTGGTGTTCGACCACTGCGTGTCTTTATTGGCATTCCGCGCAAGTTTTGACTATATTCATCGTACTGCCAGTTGGACGGATATATCATGTACAATTGCCGATATTCAAATGCAACAATGAACCAGATCCTAGAACCAGCTCTCAGGCTCATTACATTTCGCGTGGATATATATCTAAAAAGGACATTGAGCAGGACGCCGACATTTGATTAAAAAAAAACAGATCATACGACTAACACTCGGACACATTCAGGCTCCATTCACGAGCGGCGTGCAGAGGCAGCTGTATTCCCATCCCAACCTTCCCTCTAATGGCGGGTGACATGATTGCCGAGTTGAGCCGCACAATGTCCATCCCCTCAGGATATTTAATCTTGAACGCCTCGATAAGCTCCGTGAGTACAGCTTGCATCTCGAGTAGTCTGTATACACTATACACCAAGAGCAGATGTGATTAGTTTATGGTTTTGACGAGATGAAGGCTACGTGCGCAAAGCGCCGTCTGCGACTGAGGTAACATCATCAGCACAGTTAGGGCATGATACAGATTGCTGTGGACTCACCCGAGACAAGCACGTATGTCGGCAGGGATTTGGAGGGTAGATCGAGGTTCACCATAAAGCCTCACACAGGTCAGCTGCAGTTTATGAATGCAAAGTGTGATATCTAAAGCGGAGATAACGTCAACAGTGCTTTTAATACTCGAAAACTGGCGTGAAAGGCGACGAACCATTTCCATTCTCGAAGCATTCTCGAAGGCTTGCTGAGAACATCGCAGTATAAACCGCCACCTGACATAGAGAAGTACGATTCCCCAGTATTATGAAACCAGAACTTCGAAGACTGTCAGAGAGATTCGCTTTTTACATATGGCCAACAGCTTTTTGGTGCAGGAATTTTGTGAGAAGATGATGATGCTTGGATCATACCAAAGGTTATTAATCGATTATTCTTCGCTCGTGTCATTGCAGAAACAAGAAGATGCTCAGACGCAGAGCCTGATTCTCCATCTACATCTCTGCCTTGCATTGCGTCGTCGAGCGCTACTTTTTTCTCGTGTTTCTTCGTCGAATCGGATGTATGTCACGGAGAATAAAACAGGAGACAATTTGTTTCGGAAATGGTAGTACGGCCGCAGTAGTAGGGGGCAATAGCCACTATCATGTCCGTTCCTCCCACACTTATCTCAGTCGTCCCCTTCTCTCAGCTTCAATGCACACTCACGATCGACCTGGTAAGTAATATCAACACAAGCCACAGTTACATCTTTCGATAACAGATTCTAACCATCTCAACGGACAAGCCTCTCTAGCGCCCATTACTGGCACGGGAATGTTCAATGGGGCTAACAACACCCACATCCCACATGGCACATTCGTTGATGTTTCTGGAACCTCGGGACTGAGATTCAACATCAACAACGTTACTGCCGACCGTGCGTAGTGTTTATCTATCTTTCGCTATGAGCTTAGTCATTCGTATTTAGCTTTGAAAGGCTTATACGACCTGCTACACCCAGTTCAAGCTTCGTACAAGGATCGCTCAGGGAAACTCGCTCGATGCTTGGAGGGCACCCGGGAGAAGGTCCTGCACGAGATCAAAACCTGGGTAGACGGTACTCTCCCGATTTGCTGGCTTAATGGCCCGGCTGGGTTTGGGAAGTCGACCATAGCGCAGACCGTTGCAGAATGGTGTGCTGATGAAGGGAGGCTTGCTGCCAGCTTTTTTTTCTTTCGGGGAATGGGAAACCGAGATAAGATTTCCCATCTAATCTCTACGCTCGCTTTTCAACTCTCAACTACAATTGAAAACATAGAACCGTTGATCAAGGATGCGCTCACAAAAGAACCCTTCCTTTCACAGCGGGGTATTCGACTCGGGTATCAATTTGACAAATTGATCATGGATCCCATGCTCTCCCATGTACAATCAACGTCCACACAGAATGATGCCGTACAAAAACGTATGGTGATAGTTATTGATGCCCTCGATGAATGTGAAGTCGGGGACGGAGAATCGATGGACGAGTTCATCGACGCTGTAATTGATGCGTGCAGGTCCAAGGGAGGCCGGGTCCCGTTTCGTCTCTTTATCACCAGCAGAGTCGAAGAACATCTTCGGCTAAGACTTGAAACAATAGATGCCAAGGAGGTCTCCCTTCAGTTGAAATTGCAGCAGTATAATGCTAGCAAGGACATTCGCATGTTCTTTCAGTCCGAATTTGCGAATATATATGCCGCCAATCGTTTACTCATGGTTGCGGATGGTGTTCCAGAGCCTTGGCCTTCATGGGATGTCCTTGACACCTTGGTTGATAAAGCCGCTGGTTCCTATATCTATGCATCGACGTTCGTCAATTTTGTCCAAGAAGCAAGGGGAATGGCGCACCGACAGCTCATAGATGCGTTAAAGGCACATGGCCTGGATCCTCTGTATATGCAGGTGTTTTCCAAGGCTTCATCTGCCGAAGTTGTATCTGGAAGCATGGTTAACCTCAAACAAGTAATGGGGATCTTGTTACATCTTACAAGCCCATTGTCCATCCGAGACCTCGCTCTCTTGATTGATGTCCCACTGCGAGACCTTCTCAGGGCATTCTTCGGGATTCAATCTATTCTCATTATCCCCGAATCCAACAACAGTCCGGTGCACTTAGTTCATACGTCACTCCGAGATTTCCTAACGACACGGTCACGCTCGGGTGGCTATTTCAATAATCCCCCTGATTGTCACGCTTCCATTGCAATACGTTGTATGAATATTATGCAAAGAAATGGGGGCCTCTTTTGGTTTATAGATGGGCCCGTGGGGTATGCATTCAAGTATTGTCTTGATCATCTTCAACAGGCTGTTCATGGTTGGAAGAATTATCATTCGGAGTCACCTTTATTTATTTCATTGAGCAATTCTCTGACGGACTTCACTGGTAGTGTTCTTGACCCTTGGGTGCATACTGCCATCCGAAGCGGAGCACCAGAAATGTTATCAGGTTTGGCAAAATCATCAGAGGTAAGCTAGACACATGATGCGAAAATATATCTAACACGACTCAATTTGATGTAGGATTGGTCGCAATGCCCCAAAAAGTTACGTTCGGCATTAAATAGCCTAAATAGCATGATAGAGCATATAGAGGTACGAAATTATTGATGATTCATGACGAGGCATTTTGAACCTTTTCGGGGCCCAACGCATAACGTTTCAGAAAGTGTGTATATTTCTTTGTAAATTACCCTAGACGATGGTTATATCTCACTCTTTGTAACTATGGCATATGACTAGGCTGTGCGTGGCATATCTCACGATAGATAATTGATGACCTGTTTTATTTATTGGTGCATTGGATCGGCAGGTGGTAAGTCGTGTCAAAATGAGGGCGTTGAAACTGAGCTAATGTACTTCTACTTTACACAGAAAGTACGTCGTTTCAATTTACACACATACCATATCTAAAGGAGCTGGCTGTACACACAGGACGTAAGTAACGTAGCATTTGCATGACGAATATCTGAAAGACGGAAGACTGATGAGTTTACTGGGCTAGTTTGTGTGTTGCCCACTCATTCGTTCACTCTACCTGCTGATCTGCTTTTTCATGGTCAATCTTTCAGTATGTGCGTTAATTGAGACTTCATCCTGTAAAGAGTTTCCACTGAGATGCTTTATACTTGTGATAATTTAGAAGGTAAATGCTTATCTGTGCTGCATCTCTTGCTGGATTGTCTGACCATTGTCTTGTGTTCTGACAGTTTCACCATATTGTATGTGCTCTATTCCACTGGAAATGCCCCAGACGGCTCACCACTGCCGCCCTCTATATGTGTCTTTAGGACGTACGTAGTCATGTTTCGTGTAAAGGTTGCTACTGACAATGTGATACTCTTCAATAAATACACGTTCCTATGTTCCCCCCAAAACCGCCCGGAACCGCTCCGTGATTTTCATGATGGCCTTATCAGCCTGTATGTCGCCCTCTGTCTTTTTAGCCAGACGTGGCGCTGACTGTCAAGCTCTCCTTGACATTCCCAGCTTGTACGTCGCTCTCGATCTTTTCTTACCCGATGTATGACTGAGTGTCATGCCCTCCTTGACGTTGTCAGCTTGTACGTCGCTCTTGACCTTTTTTAGACAGATGTAAGGCTGAATATCGCGCCCTCCTTGACGTTCTCAGTGGGTACGTCGCTATCGAACTTTTGAGCCAGACTTGGTGCTGACTGCCATGCCCTCCTTGACATTCTCAGCATGTACGTCATTTCATGGCCTTGTTTATATTTGTCGCTGACTGTCAGGCCCTCCTTGGTGCTCTTAGTATGTACGTCGCTCTTGTTCTTTTTTTAGCTAGATTTGGCATTGATTGTCAAGTCCTTCTTGACGTACTCAGGGTGTATGTCGCTCTCGATCTTTATTAGCTAGATTTGGCACTGACCGCCATACCATCCTTGATATACTTAGCTTGTACGTCGCTATTGATCTTTGTAGCCAGATCTGGTGCTAAATGTGAGGCCCTCCTTGACATTCTCAGGGTGTACGTCGCTCCCCGATATTTTTAGCCAGATTTGGTGCTGACTGTCAAGCTCTCCTTGACGTTCTCAGATTGTACGTTGCTCTCGATCGTTTTTAACCAGACTTGGCGCTGACTGTCACTGTCATGCCCTCCTTGACGTTGTCAGTGGGTACGTTGCTCTCGACTTTGTTTGACCACATGTGAGACTAAGTATTATGCCCTCCTTGACGTTTTCAGTGGGTACGTCGCTATCGAACTTTTGAGCCAGATTTGGCGCTGACTATCATGCCCACCTTGACGTTCTCAGAAAGTACGTCATTTCAGGGGTTTTTTTGGATATCTTTTATTTATTCTTGTGCTCTTTTGATGAGTTCAGGACGTACGCTGCTTTTGCTCCTTTATTGGCATATTTTCTTTTCATCCGCAGATCACATTTTTTGCTCAATCTCCAGGATGTAAGTTGGTATTCGTGTCATGCTCATTATCATGAATACTAATCACCAATGTTGTGTTTATGTTATCAGAAAATCCACGAGGTGTGTCATCTTCTAATGTAAGTGCATAGTTTTCTTCTTTACGGATTTGTGTCGTTCAGCCACTTCACCTCTTGCACACAGCATCCGTGTTGTACAGTCAATACTGAAAAGATGTGAATCTGAACCTAAAGCTAGTTAGGGACATTTCTTTCATTGTGCACAACCATTTTTACTAACTTCCTCGCACTGCAGATTGTATGTTTTGCCATTTCCCTGTACTTTTTGCCAAATTTTACCAACGTATTCGTTTTGCGCACTTAGATTGTACGCAGAAGCTTGCTTTACACGTTTTGTGCATGTAGCGCTAATGTATTCATTATCGCTGATATTCCTTGCAGAAAGTATGTACGCACTGTTGAGATCTACATTTGAATTGCTGATCGTTTAACTCACTTCTAGTGGGTGTGTTGTTCGTTTCATGTTGACTTCGTGGACATTAGTTCAATGTTATACATGCGATATGCTCCATCAATAGCGAGTATGTGAACTAAACTTTTATTTTTAACAACATCCCTAATACCAGTACTACTACAGCAAGTGCGTCAGAAGGAAGCCTCGCGTAGCCTTTTGAGGTTAGTTTCCATCATCAGCCTGAGCTATAATCCTCGTATACCACCTTTTTACCACAGGAGAATTGCTGCAAAAATTCAAGTTCATAGTCAGGGACATGTTAGAAGGCTGCTTTAAGGTACCCTTCTCATTGTGGGTGGCATGTGGCTTATGGTGCCTGCGTGTGTAATTTCAGACTTTTAGGTTCCATCATCTGGTGGCTTCGTGTTGGAGGCGACCTGCGGTCTTTCGTGGTATCCATAGGATAAGTTGTGGCTGGTAGACGTTAGGTGAGGGTGAAAGGAGAAATGGGCAGATGGGAAGGGTGACAGTGAGGGGTAGATGAAGGGGTGTTCACTGGCATGAGGATGGGAGTAAGGCTGGTTATGGCGTGTTTTGATTTTCTTCTTTTGCAGTGTATTCATCATACCAGGTTGTATCTATGTCGACTGTTGCTTTGTATTTTGGAATCGTTGAAATTAGACCTCGATGGTCGTTCAAGTTCATGGTTTAAAGATATGGCGAATATGGTACCAAACACAATTCACCCAGCAAGGGGCAACTCCGCCATTCCAAGGAAAGTCACTGAATCGGCGGTCGGCCAATCTTTGGTTGGGTTGTGTTGGCCTGAGGCCTGAAGCTTGAAGGAACCCATATTAGTGCGTCACATGTCTCTCAATTCAAAGGACCAATATTGATGTTTGACCACTGGCACTGAGCGTCTGATTGACACACCGCTCGAGTTTTCACTGATTCACCGCTAGCGGGATGGATATACCATCTACAATTTGCAAGAAAACATTCAAGCGCAGCCATGAACCAGATCCTAGAACCAAATCATCAGGCTAATCACATTTCGCGTCGGCATATATATACAAAAGCTATAAAAATCACATTTAACAGGTCATTTTCAGCATTTGATAAACAAGTAGGGATCATACGACCACAATGGGGGGTCCTTCGCGTCTGGCTGCTAGCACTAACACATTTAGGCTCCATTCACGAGCGAGACGTGCAGAGGCAGCTGTATCCCCATCTCAACCTTCCCTCTAATGGCGGGTGACATGATTCCCGAGCTGAGCCGCATAACGTCCAATCCCTCAGGATATTTAAACTCGAACGTCTCGATAAGCTCCGTGAGCACAGTTTTCATCTCAAGTAGCCTGTGTACACCAAAAGCAGGTGTAATTAGTTTGTGCTTTTGACGAGATCACTTTGAGGGAGGCTACGTACGCAAAGCGCCATCTACGATTGAGGTAACATTATCAGCACAGTTAGGGCACGGTACAGATTGCTGTGAACTCACCCGAGACAAGCACGTATACCTGCAGCTATTTGAACCGTGAAGCAGTCATTTAGGTCATGGCTACACAACTCATATGTAATACATTACTCACAAAAAGTCATTCTGGAAATTGCAAATAAAACATCATGAGAATGCGATACTGTAGACAAACCGAAAAGACGCACAAGTTCGCGAAAACGCCGACGGACGCCTGCCTCTCTTTGTCACTGCCCAAGAACCTATCTGGGTTCCAACTATCTGCATCTTCGCCCCAAACACTCTGCAGTCTGTAGTCATTTCAGATAAACGCAATCTTAGTGCTAGAGAGCATGATACTCACCGATTGTACGAGCAAATGGAAATGTTGATCGCTTGACCCTTGCTAACGGGAATTTGGTTGATGAATTTACCTGACACAGTCTCAATCGGCTCAGAAAGGGGGATAACATCTTCATCAGCCGCTTCTCGGAAGAGCATGGGAGCAATAGGGTGCAATCGCAGACTCTCCTGAATTATCATTCTCAGAGATTTCTTTGGATCCCGATAACACTGCACTTGCACTAACCTTGATGACGGCATTCATGAAGGGCATCGAGTCGAAGTCACTAGGGACGAAGTCTTCATCTCCACGTGCTTTAATCTCCTTGCGGACGGCCGCTATTTCGTCGCGTATCTTCCTCTGATCTTCTGGTCTCTTGGAGAGTTCATATAGCGTCCAGGTAAGAGTATTGGCGGTTGTATCGTGACCGGCCAAAAGGAATGTCCTAGAATGAACGAAGTCACAACGTGTTCCCTTAGATATTTTGATTGGATAATCACGCTACTTGGGAAAGCATCTCATCGCTGGTTAAACGTTTCTTGACATCGTCGGAAACACTGGATTGAGCTAATGAAATATACTTTACTTTCAAGCTGCAACGTCTAGACGAGATTCACTTACCCAAGATGCTCACAATATTCTTACCACCCTTTTCACTGGAGGACGCTTTCTGGTCTACGAGGTCCTGTCCAACGCGGAAAGCGGCGTCCAGGAACTGTTTGAAGCGGCTGTATTCTCTCGTTGGCAAATACCTAACGTAGTGCAAGATACTATCAGGAATGTAGTGCCACGTAGCCCTAAACAATATATCCCATGCAGGTGGATGGAGCACAGAATCGACACTGGGAATGCAATGTAAGTACAATATATACCAGGAGAAGAGAGACCTACAAGAGATTCTGAAAGAGACGTGCAAGCTCATTTCTTTGGTCGTCTAGCGCTCCAAATTGATAGTCAAAAGCAGCTAATGATAAGGATATGAGCATGCGCCCAACAGGACAGAACGAAGTTTCATCCACCTTCACCAATGACATCTAATGTCATTCTGGCCAGCATTTGAGGGACATTGATGACAGCACTTTCGTGAGACACGCTGGCCTCCAGTTCATCCTTCCACTTCTGACTAAGCTGATGCAAGGGCAAATGATGTAAGAGATGGAAACGCCAGATGAAGAGCCTCTTACATGAGAAGCCAACTGTCTGAATATCGGTAGGAATGTATGCAATTGCCCCGCGGAAAAGGCAGGACTCAAGATCTTCCTCTGACGCTGGTGAACATCACCTAATCAAAAAATATATACCGTCAGTGTCATCTATGAGAAGTAACAGGGAAACACACCTTTAACCGTAAGAATACCTCGACCCGTGAAGATTTTTGCAGATTGATCTATTGCCTTGGTCTTCGGGAACCGATATCCAGATGTATGGAAGATATACTGAAGAGCCTTTGGGTCTACTGTCCACAACACATCCTCCTGGTTTTTGTCGAAGACTCCGATGTTAATATGCATTAGCACAATGAGTAACGTATGAACATACTCCAAAGCATCCTTGCGTACGCCAAGTGGCACCATACCGGCGAAGCCATTGGAATTGAACATCGCCCATTTCCTCTTCGTGGCGAAACTGCATTTCGTGACCTAAAAATGTTGTATCATCGTCTCAATAGCACTTGATGCCGCAAGAACGCGAAACGAACCTAATAATCGAGAGGGCGAAGCGGGTCCTCGAATGTCCTTGATGGAGCGACGCTGTACACGATAGCGTGCAGTAACTGCAAGCAGCACAATCAAGCTCAAGATGGACCAAGATATGACGCTCATTCTGTCTGTACAGAACGATAATCAGCACAAACAATCTGGTACATATATTCATTTTTGCCGACGGGCTGCTTTCATCCGTCGGGGGAATAGGAAAGCTTCTTGGGTTTATCTGTTGTCAAGAAGCTCGCGGAGCGTACTAGTATACATGAGAAATATTGTGCATGAGAAGGGTTGCTCCACTGGTTCACCGTGATGTTCGTATCGAAGAACGCCTGTAAGTCCAAATAGCCAGTCAGGATATCACAAAGGGCTGGTACTAAGAGATAATGTATACCATATACCGATGGGCAATGTTTTATAAGCCTGAAATAACAAAAGTATATATTTCCGCGTCCTTCCTAGTAGACGATATCCCGGTCATCGGAGATACGCCTTTGTGTTATCGTCAAAGAAGTGGGTCTATAGGTAGGCAGGTTTGCTATCACCCGGGTACTTGCTTGTTGGAGAAAAGACCGAAAGTTACAAAGAGTCGAAGATCGGTCTGAGCCACGTTTTTCATGGGTTACTGTAAAGCCTGCAGTGGTGACCCGAGTTCGTATAGAAAATTTGGGCTTTAAAGGGTGAACCAGGGTTTACCATAAAGCCTAATACAGATCAGCTATAGTTTATGAATGCAAACTGTGATATCTAGAGCGGAGATAATGTTAACAGTGCTTTTAATACTCGACAACTGGCGTGGAAGGTGACGAACCCACTTCCATTCTCGAAGGCTGCTGAGAACGTCGCAGTACAAGCCAATGTCTGCGTGTCATGTTGTACACGTACCCGAAGCAAGGTACCTCCGCTGACTCCTCACCCATTTGATCCACGGCAAGTGTTTCTATAATTGTGGCCAAGTAGAATAACGAAGAACATCGCATTCGAGATGTACAGAGAAGCCTTATCTCCCAGCTTTGTGAATCTGAACTTTGAAGACATTGTCAGACAAATTCACTTTTTACATATGGCCAACAACTGCTTGGTGCAGAAATTTTTGTGGGAAGACGGTGATCATACCAAAGGTTACTCTGCGCCGGAGTCACTGCAGAAACAAGAAGATGGTCAGACGAAATTCAGATCCTGATTGGACATGTAGCATGAGGTTGAGTGGGTTTTACTGACCTGGACTCCGACTTAGCAAGCTGCTGTGTCCCAACTACGCTGCCAACCACTACTTTACCACTTTTGTCGATGCCAACACCCCTGCTCTATCACTCTCACTCCTATCCTTGTTTTTTTCGTGCCTATGCTCCTCTTGTTCGATCATGTCTTCGCTTCGTCAACACCGTTGTCCTGTTCATTGCTATAAGTAAACCGGAATATCAATTGAGCTTGAATGTCTCGTCGAATTTCAGCCCTCAAGCTTCAACTTTATGAGCAAATGCGAGTCTGATTAGGATTCGCAGGCCATTTCATCACGCTGGTCATTGTAATGGCACGTTAACTTTTGAAATTTGAATGCCTAGATATTCAATGTTGTGTCAATGTAATTTGTTAGTTAGGCGTTGACTGTTCACTGCTTTCATGATTAGCTATAGACTCGGAGCATTCTATAGCGTAGACTCTTCTTACATCTGCATATTTGAGCCAGAACCGATTGTAAATGTATGCGCAGTGAAAAAAGAAAGCCATGTACATAGCTCTGTACAGCTGCGAACTTGATGTGTACAGCCATTCTAGTTGCGGCTAACTAATCTATGTACACATGTGGTGAATGTTAACCATTTTCAATCACCTTCCACCACCATCACCATCATTGTGCCCAAATGTCCAAAGAGCTTGGAACACTCGTCGTCGTCGTTCTCAAAGCGCGCAATCTCAACGATAAACACCTTTACAAGCAAGATCCATACACACAAGTAACACTTTCTGGTACCACTAAGCGTACAAAGGTCGACCCAAAGGGCGGTCAGCACCCCGTATGGGATGACGAGCTGCGATTGCCTGTCCTTGTTGATGAATCTGGAGATAACCGTACGCTCGAGGTGTCGGTCTGGTCTAAAGAGACCAGAAAGGACGATTGTGTGGGACAAGCAAAGGTAGATATCAAAGAGACGCTGAAAACGGGCGAGTTTGATGGTATGTCCTCTATCTTTTCCCTCGTTACATAGCTTATCGTGCAATTACTATATTTCGTTGCTGTCATCGATAGACTGGGTTGATCTTGAGACGAGCGGAGGCAAGCGTGGCGAAGTGTACCTCGAAATGACTTACTACGCAGCAGCTCCTCCCCCGCTCACTCGTCGTCCATCAAAGTTCGCGCCTTCAGAACGTCTATCTCGTCCACAACAACCAAAGACATCCACCGCTTTGGTTTACTCCCATTCCCCTCCACGCGGAGGTCGTCCAGCACAGACCGCACCTGCACAGACATCGCCAAATCAGTCCCATCTCGTCCCTCCATCTCTATTCCCTGCGCGAACGTCTCCACAATCACAATCACGCATGCCGGCCCACCACTCATCGAACTGCCAACACGACGACGACGAACTCCCGCCTCTCCCTGAGGATGATTCTCCTGCCTCTCTCAATGTTCCTTCCACCAATAAACCCGCCCATGTCCCAACAATCTTGCGACCAGGACGTAATAAGAAGGTGTCTCTGCCTCAAGGGCACTCATCCTTATCCAGCTCCGTCGGAACCGTTCCTCCAAGTCCAACACCAGCGCCCTCAGTAATATACCAATCTCCACTGGGCCCGCCTAACATCGCCCCTCCCGATCCTTCGCACACACCCAACCCGTACAATTCCACCGATCCGAATCCTTACGTCTCATCTACACCGCAGCAGATACAATATCAGCACCAGCGCCTTCCCACTGATGATTCGATGTCATTGTCCTTTCCTGTACCACCTCCCGTTGATTATTCGCACCCTTTCTCCCGTTCGCCCCCTCCCAACCTTCAATACTCAGATTCTAATACCAGTACTTATGCACAGAACTCGGGATATCCTCATCACATGAGCCAGGAACGTACTTATGCTGATCCTCAGCAGCAACAGAGCAGGTTCACAGCGCAACCAGGTTATATACCATACCCACCACATGTGCAAGGAGGGTACACACCTCCACAGCCTGGACCTGGGTACGCCGCCACGCCGCCGCCAATGTCTGGGCAGTATCTAGGAATGCAACCCCCTCCAGCTCCCACGCAATACCCCAGTCAGCCGCCGCCCCATCAATATACGTCCCAGCCGCCTCCTCCCGCTTCGGCACAGCATTCCAGTCAGCCACCACCTCATATATATACTCCTCCCCCGCCGCATGCCCATTACTCTTCTCCACCACCAACCCAGCAATATGCTTCGCTGCCTCCCGCTTCCTTCACGCCTTCGGGCTTCGCGCCACCCAACCAATATCCGGGGCTATCGGCGTCGCCATCTCCTGCCCAATACCAAGGCGGAGGCCAACAGTACCCAGGACTGTCCGCGAGCCCAGCACACTACCAAGGACATTCGTCGGCCTCGCCAACGCCTCCCCAGGCGCAATACCCATCTGGACCTGGTACCCAAGGTTATCCACCGCATGCGCCTGGTCCGCCAGGATACCCCCCTCGTATGCCTGGCGCATACCCGCAGTCTGCGCACACTCCACCTCCGCCCCCCCCGCCTGTTACGCCACTTTCAGTTCCGCCACCGCCCCCTCCTATAGTACAAGCCCCGACTCCACCTCCGGCCCATTTTCACAATGTGCCTCCATCTCGCCAAACGCTCCCTCCACAGGGAGAGCAACAGTTCCCGCCCCCAGTTTCTGAGACACTTCAGAATAATACCCCCCCGCATGAATCTGAAGGTCAGTTAACTGGGTCGCAGCCTCCAGCTCCTCCAGCTCCTATTCCCTCTCCAGCTAGATCGGTACTTGGTGATAAATCATTATATGATGCTCCTTCATCACAACTACAACTACCTGCAAGCGATCAGGAGGAAAAGCGGAAGGAAGAGGAAGATGGTAAGCAAAAGGAACCCGAAGAAAACATTATGCAGGAGGAGGAAGAACGAAAAAACAGCGAGGCAGAAGAGTCAAAAAGAATCGAGGAGGAGCGAAAGAAAAAGGAAGAGGAGGAAGAAAAGATAAGGCAGGAAGAACAACAAAGGAAAAAGGACGAAGAGGAACAGCTAAAGAGGGTGGAAGAGGAACGGCTCCAGAGAGAAGAAGCAGAACGAATAAAGAGAGCGGAGGAGGAAAGGTTAAAGAGGGAGGAGGAGGAAAGGGTAAAGAGGGAGGAGGAGGAAAGGGTAAAGAGGGAGGAAGAAGAGAGGTTAAAAAGAGAGGAAGAAGAAAGGTTAATGAGGAAAGAACAAGAACGGCTAAGAAGAGAGGAGGAAGAGAGGATCAGGCGAATCGAAGAACAAAAGCGACAAGAAGAGGAGAGACGCATGAGAGAGGAAGCCAAGAAGAAGGAACGAGAGCCGGAAGAACGTAGACAACGCGAAGCAGAGCAAAAGAAACGTGAGGAAGAGGAACGTTTAAGACTAGAGGAGGAACGCAAGTGGAGAGAGGAGGAAGAACGGCGAAGGCGTGAAGATGAGGAACGTGCAAGAAAGGAGGAGGAGCGTAGGCAGAGAGAAGAAGCTGAACGGAAGAAGCGTGAGGAAGAGGATCGCCTGAGAAAGGTAGAACAGGAACGTCGAAAGCGCGAAGAGGAAGAAGGGAAGAGACGGGAAGAGGAACGAAGACGCAAACTCGAGGAAGAAGAGGCCGAACGCAAATGGCAAGAACAGCGTCGACGACTAGAAGAAGCATCTAGACGTGCCCAAGAGGAGAGAAGGCGCCAAGAAGAAGCAGACGCAGCATTTGCTCGAGAGCAATACGAAGCTGAAGAGCGCCGTATGCGTGATGAAAGGCGCAAGCAAGAAGAAGCGGATGCATTATTCGCTCGCGCTCAGTATGATGCAGCAAAAGAGGAGTGGAGAATGCAAGAAGAAGCAGATGCAGTGGTTGCGAGAAGAGAGCAGGAGGTGGAAGAGGAGATGGAGAGAAAGAGGCAGGAGGCAGCGGATAGAGACCTAGCGAGAAAGCTGGATGCTGAGCTCAATCTTGAAGACTTCGATGAGCCTGATGTTGGGAGATCATCACAGGGTAGCAGCAGAAACAGGGCGGCTACATCAGGTGTTGCACCTACAACTCCGAGTCGTACGCGTGAACGGCGGCCACGGTAACCTCATAATCTCGTCTGTAGCCAGCATCGGCATGTCTAGCTAAAGAATTGTAAGTCAGAAATATTGAGACAAGGGCATAAGTTTGTCGTAATTGTTCCGCACGGGAAACGTTGGTCAAAATACTTTAGCATAAAGGAGATACATCATCATACATGCCAATCTCATAAATTGTCTTTGTGGCGAACCATGGCAAATGATAGTATGTCAATGCCTTCCCAGAAGACCAACTAGTATCCAACTCGGGCTGCTGCTGTACGTTGATCGTATTGGCGATCGAATAATTCGTGCTCTTTGCTCGATAGGAACGTTGATGTGTCAAGACACGGGGACAAGACAAATCCACGGTCATCACAATGGAATGAGAAATATAGACACTGACTTCATTATGAGCGTGTAGTGCCAGTCATCTCGTGGATCGCTGAGGCAACCTGAACCAACGTTACAGTTGTTAGTGTCAGTGGCACAATAGGAAAATGAAATGTAAGAATGCTGTTACAGACTCGGAGCATGTAGAACCCATTCTCGTGGACATCCGGGTTTTGGCCAGTGATAGCGAACGTACTCTGTGGAAGATGTATACTATAGTATATTGTTAACGAGCAAACCTAGTTACCGTGACGGTCTTGCGACTACACTGGCACCATGATGCACCACGAAAATGCCTGATACTTGAAGTTGATATTCATCTATCCACGTCTCTGTATTACCTTCCTATGGATCGACACCGTCCTCCTGAAAACGCGTTGTGCAACGCAGTTTTGAACTTCTACCGCTCGACGCCCATTTACTGCGGCCGCAAAGTATGCCAAAGGCTCAGTCGAGTCCTGGCTTGCCAAGGTGGACGTCAGGCTGAATAGTATAAACCGCGAAATCGACATGAATTGTTTGTCAAATGAGCGGCTGCTTCAATCTTTGGAGAATGAAATGGAACAAGTAAAAGGGTAACATTACCCTTCTGGTCTACGATCTCCAGATATCTGCGCGTAACCTGACCAAATTGACGCTAGCTAAGGCTGAGGATGGTTATGGTTGTAAGTGATGACTCCTTCTTCCGCAGTTACAGCGTTTTCCTTACTGACAATATGCTCTTTGAAGATTGGATCCCTTATAAGAATCATGTTTTTGTTTTTCTAAACCCGATCTCATCGTGCTTGATTTCATGTCAGCAGGCTTGCACAATTCACTCGGCTTGGACGGCAAGATGCAAGCCTTGAAGTTTGTCCTATAGCTGACTGTAGAGAATAGCCCATATGTATCGGGTTTTACGTCAAGACTTCGAACCCAAAATATACAGACGCGCCCAGGACAAATGACCTGATACGAGACCAGAGTTGCAGCGTACCACAAACTTCCTCTCAACGACACTGGTTAATAGGACCTTGTGTTTCAAAAAGTTGGTTGTAAATCACCGGATTTTCGGTAAATAGCTCGTTCAACCTTGCAGTGCAATTGAAGAATACAATGTACTTGTCTGTGATCTCTCGTCACTCTTTGTAGGTGTGGATTTAAGAGTCTGGCTATAAAAAGGGTGCGAGTTAGTATTAGAATCCCAGCGATATACTGTGATCCCGAATATCCCACCTACCTACTTTTCACACTAGCGTCCACTATGTCTAATCCCCGCGTCTGGTTCAGTAAGCTTTCTCTCCGCATATCTTGCACATTATCTCACACGTTGTATTGTGCAGTCACTGGTGCTTCATCTGGCTTTGGTAGATACATGACAGAGCATGTTATGGCCAGTGGTGATATCGCCGTAGCCACCCTTCGCAAGCCAGAAGTACTATCAGAGTTTGCAGCCAAGTACTCAAAAGACAGGCTGTTAGTCTTGCAACTTGACGTCTCGAAAAAAACCGACATTGAGAATGCATTCGCTCGAGCTATAGAGGCGTTCGGCAGAATTGATGTTGTGTTCAATAACGCCGCGTATGGTTTGTTTACAGAAGTTGAAGGAACCCCTGAGGATCTTGCTCGCACCATGTTCGAGGTCAATTTCTGGGGAGCTGCTAATGTCGCGCGGGCTGCTGTACGAACGTTCAGGGAAGTCAACGCGCCTGGAAAAGGGGGGGTCTTGCTACAAATATCCTCTTTGGGTGGACTAGTAGCACACCCGTCTGTTGTGTATTACGGTGCTAGGTAAGCATTTTTGCTGTTGCCACACTGCCCTGATGTCACCTCCGATTTTCTGGCACAAAGCAAACATGGTAAGATAGTCTTCTTTTCGTGTAGTGTTCTTTTGATCTTATGCTGCATATGCATCGATTTACAGCATTGGAAGGCTTCAGCGAAGGGCTCGCTGGAGAGGTTGACCCCGCTTGGAACATCAGAGTAGGCGATATCTGCACGAACACAATGTACACATGCTGAACATATAGCAGGTCTGTATTGTTGAGCCAGGAGGCTTCCGCACCGAAGGTGTCAGCAACGGGATACTTGTCCCTCAACATCCTGCTTATATCAACCCAGAACTACCTTCGTCGAAACTGCGTGCTGACATTGAAAGGCACGGTGGGTCCTGGCAGGGGGATGCAAAAAAGGGTGTGCGGGTGATATATCAAGTGGCTAGTGGAGATAAAATACCCCTACGACTGCCTCTGGGGATGGATGCTGTGGCAGGAACACGAGAAGTAGGCCAGAGGCTCGTAGCCGCGGCAGACGAGAGCGAGCTATTCTCAGCTGATCTGCTCATCGACTCAACCAACTGAGAAATCAAGTTTCCGTGTCGACAAGTTGTACATCAGTAATATATGCTTCCATAGCGGAGAGTATTGTCATAAATGCATGAATAAAATAACGGAAATTCGAAATCCATCGCATCCATTGACCGGTAGTTTTGTTTTTACTTTGAAGCTCTTACCAATGTTACCCCGACAAATGTCAGTAAGATGCGCTTATCAGTCGGCGTTTCTTTTTACATTGCTTCAAAGATTATATTGCATTAAATCAGCGCAACTGTATTGGAATATGACCCCTATAAATTCATAGTAGCTACGGTTCTGACAAGCACTTGTATTCTTAAGCAATCTTGATCCTATCCACAAAAATCTCTGTCACAGCCCTTCCAGATTGTTTAACAGATGTTTCTGTTTCTGTTTCTGTTTCTGTTTCTGTTTCTGTTTCTGTTTCTGTTTCTGTTTCTGTTTCAGGGTACTCCATGGGCTTTCCTGGTGAAGGCTCAAGCTCCTCTCCAGTAACAACTCGGAGAACCTTTTCCTGACGTAGCTTGGAAATGATTCGGAGTTTCCATATCTGGAAATTGTTGGGTCCAGTGAGAACTGGACATGTGGAGGTATTGTGTGCTGTGGTCATGGTTCCGAGGTTGCCGCTTCAAATGAGAATTATTTCCTGTGTAGCTTTTGCACCACCAGGGCTCATAACCTAATAGATCTAAGTGAAACTCAGCCGCTGCCTAAGAGGCTATAGAAATGACTTTATTATTTACCTAAGTGAAACTACAATAGATGTTAGTTTAAGGTGATCTCTAATAAATGTAATGTAACATACCTCAGCCGCTGCCTAAGAGGCTATAGAAACGACTGAGGTATTCCTATACTAAACCCCCTACTACTTATAGTTGGAGGTGCTACTCGCTAAGGTATAATGACTCCTAGGAGAACAACGGTGACTCCACGGAGTGGTGGCTATGCTCCATGGAGAACAATGGCTGCTTTAGCAGAGACCGGGTTTATCCGGTTTTGTCAATATATATGTTTACAAAGTTGTTTGTATCTATCAAGCAGTGGCTGGATTACATGATAAGTTGAGCTGACTGCCCCACGGGCTATGGGCCCCCTCAGCGCTCCCTTACACCCCACACTACCTCTGCCCCCTCAGCTCTCTCCCATAAACATATATTATCCTACTATCTAATGTCTATGAGCTCAAATTGAACAATTGACACCAACAGACCTCGCAACACCAGAAACAACCCAGACACCACCTCCCAACCCAGTGAAAACGACCCGTCTATTAAACCCAATCAAATGTTGGACACATCCTCAGGGAAAATATTTTTAGAGAAAATGTATTTAATTGTATCTGGTGAGCCCATCACTATCAATACCCTGACAACTGCTCTGGGCCACATAGCTCAAACTCCGGGAATCCCACTTCAACACTCTACTGCCATCAAAGCAGTAGCAACACTACTAGGCAGCATAAATGAAGATTGGACTGCCAACCTAATCATTGACTCCTTCATCACAAAGATCCAACCACTGGCTAACACAACCGCCCTACAGCAATTTGCACCCAACATTGGTAAAATATTAATGTCGGCTGAAAGCATAGGAGAATCAGCTCAGCTATTTACCTTGTCTCCCTCCATGCTGTCAATCTCCCAACTAGACAAGTCAATTAAGCCCATCACAGCTCTGCTAAAAGACACTTCCATCCATATCTCAACTCTCTAACCACCTGACTGCACTGGAATCAAAGGCCCCCCCTCCCTCTGCTTACAAAGATGCACTCCTCTCTGCGTGTATGCTAACTAAACAATGTTATGCAGCTACTGTTAGTGGACAGCTGGTGATTAGTAGAATCATCCCAACTATTTCTAGCTTACGCCAAAACCTGCCACTGAACATGAACTGCATGTTCGCACCTGGCGTGCTCAGTTATGATGGCCTTCCTGCCAATATTGATTGCACCAATTTTGAGGCTTCTGATCAATTTTTTAAGGCTATCTGATTCAAGTACGTTACAATCATTTGATTCTAACAGTTTCTGATTTTTTTTGGTTTTTTGTAGTACTTTCCAACTCTTGGATTGTCGTCTAGATTGTTGGGGAGTCTGTATGCACACTATAGACATAGCTCATGTACCTATACATTGTCATGGTCAGGCTATCTTAGGTGTGTGTACAACATCTTCAGTACACTTCCTGACTCCCTTATCTGATCTTGACGACATCATGCCTTGTTCTCAACCACCATCACCATCATTACCACCAGTTGTCCTCCCTGAAATGTATGTGGTTAGCACAACATTCCAGAATATGGCTGAAGGCAATCGCCAATACTCTGCACTGCAGGATCCTGGCGATAACTACGAGTAGACCGAATCAGAAAGAGAAAGGGCAAGTCAAGCTATCAAGGTCACAGATGTGGAGGACCTGACAGCCAAGGTATGTCATTATCATGTATGTAGTGTACGCAATATCAATGCTAAATACTTGTTCTTAGATACAGAAACATTATGATGGGGGTGTTTGTACAGACCCCTCAGCATACTTGTATATACCATCCTCAATATTTCCCTCCATCCCTCTTCTCTTGAAAAACAGCGATGATTTGCTCATTGTCACGATCTCTTTCTCTCACACCTGACACTTCACCTTTCCTCTCAAACTCAGATGTCGAGACTCTTATCTCTCCTTATCTTATCACATAGCTTTTCCTTTATCTATATCTTATCTCATCACGTGACATCAAGTCATGTGATTACTTACAAATCATCTTACCAAGCTACACGCTACATCCTCATGTCTATCAGTCAGCGCCTCATGGCTGACATGAGTTCTTACATATATAAGTAGACACTCAACGATGTACATACCTTAGCTTTTGATTTAGTCTTTATACAACCTGTTCAACTACCTGCTTGAGATTGACGTTGGGTCTGCCTGGTTTCTTCCAGTAGTGCAGCTCAGTCGTTATACTCATGTTATTTTTAAACAGCTCTATGCCAGAATTAATTTGCACCACTCTCCTGCCTAACTTCCAGTCCTGCCTAGGCTTCACGTTTGAAGCTCTACATTTCTCTTGGTACAACCGCCATTGTACAAAAGTGAGTTCTTTTTTTTTTTTTTTTTTCCATTTACAAACTATGCTGAATCAATGAAGGGAAATGACGCACGCAATAATATTCCCCCTTTGATGATGAGGAGAAAGTATGCCTCGAGAACAAATTATTTGCAGCTTATCCCCTATACGTCCAAGGAGATTCAAGACCACACTGACATTTACCAGAGACTTAAAACAGTATTTGCTGATCTCTTTGAATGGATAAATGAAATTGTGAGTGACATTGTTTCTGATTAATCTACAGGATAATCTGCTGATACCATTGATGTAGCTTGCTACTTATCTACCTACTGAATATTGTAACAACCATGAGTTAGTTACTCTAGCGCACACTAAAACTAACTATAAAGGTAGTGAGGGGAGTGGTTACCCTTAGGATAGGACCAAGTTAGTTGTGGGTAAATAACAGGAGGACTCGCTGAGGAGTCTCCTGGATCTATTGGGGTTTATATACTGTTACAGGTTTGTTTGTGTGTATGTACTATACAGTTGCTAAGGCAGTAGCTGATGATGTCATAGGGTGCAGCCCGTGTGACCAGCTCCACTGTGTGAGAGACTTGTAGCTAAAAATAAAAAGAAAGTAGCGCCGCGCGAGAAAGAAGAGTTTGAACAAAAGGGAAAGTGCTGCATGGCACGGAGTGTGAAAACTAAAGTAGAAAGTTGAAGAGGACAATGAAAATTAAAGGAAAGGTTCAAAAATTGTGTTATCATAAAACTATCCCCCCTCCAAGGCTCAACTTCCAGGCTCGACCAGATACCGGAGGTAGTAGTTAAATTTTTGGGCATAGGTTGAAAAAGGGAATTAAAAAGGTTCAAATCCATGCCTCTAAGCTTCCTAGGAGCCGAGGGATTCTGAGAGTAAAATTTGCAAACAGTGTCGTGGGAATTGTCCAGATGGGCTTCTGGTTCCCACGTTCTGTCCTCGTCTCCATAGCCCTTCCATAGGACTAGGAATTCTAGTTTTCCACGCTTCAAGCGTGCATCCACCAGCCGTTCAACTTCACCTTCCTGGGTGACTACTACCGGTCCGGGCCGGTGTCGATGATGAGAACTGTTGTTAGAAAACCACACACAAAACAAACTAACACACAATCCTCCCAGATTCCACGGAACTTGTTTATGGGCTTTGCCTCCTAGAACAGTGGAGTGGTCTGGTTGTTCGTGGGGTGGTACGTATAAAGATCCTTCAAAGTAAAACCCAGAGGTGTATGAGTGTGGGTTTTGAGGAGGAGGGATAGTTGAATTTATAGAAAGATAGGGGGTTTGTGGCGAGTATAGACGAGCACTACCTTGCTAATTGTAGCACAAGGTAGGTTTGAGAACAATGAGGATGACGAGGTGACGAGGTTCCCAGTGATAGCAGGCTCCTGACGCACAAACTGTAGTGCTCAGAAGGACTCTAATCGAAGGGGATGACAATCACTTTCAAAAGTGACGAGTGACGATGACAGCAGTTAACAGTGGTAGAAGTGGGAAGTGTTGTGACCACACTGGATCACAAGTAGCAGTAAGAAGTGGACTTAAGATTAGAGAAGAAGTCTGGAATCGAGTTCTTGTTGTTTTTTTTTTAAGGTAGAATACAGGGGTTTATATAGTAAAAGAGAAGTAGGCTATGCACAGTATAGCTGTGCAAAAAGAATGAGAAAGAATATGAAGGAAGGAATGTACGCTGACGAATCCTGCGTAGGTAGTACAGGATAAGATTGTCAAAAAAAGAAAAGAAAGGGATAGAACAATAAATGCTGTGAGTAATATCACAGGTTTGTACAGCCATAAAGTAAAGTCCAATAGCAAAAAGAGAGCAGGAAAATCATGATGTCATGGGAAGATGCAGTAAAAAAAGAGCAAGGCAAAACACTATCAGTATCAACACAGTTCCTTTATTGTCAGTCAGGCATTCTAAAAAAATATGTGTCCATAAAAATGATTCAAAAATCAAAAATAATCGCACTGTAAATGAATGTTCTGCTGAAAAAAAAGAAACTGGAGCCACCGGTCCACCA